TTGAGCTCAGGACAACAATACCTTTCGAACGATATCAAAAAAAATTCTGTCAAAATGGCTAGTTGAAATTGTCGAAATTCGTCTGAAGAAAAAAAACCCACCCGAGCACAAATATTCCGTTACTATCGTATCAAATGTCGAAACAATAAGACAAATCGAACAATACTGCTCTTATTGAAACAATAGCCTGAAAGTGGTGCAACTGACATGGTACGAATTTGAAACTGCAATAAGTTATCAGTTTTAGAGGACCAAATGATATGAAACATGTACGATGTTTTCTTAAATCTTCAAAAAATGCTAATAGTCTGGGAGAAACACAGCGTTGGATTTCTGCTGTTCTTTTTTCAGACCGATTATTTGAAAAATTTAAAATCCTGTTTTTCATTTAGAAGGCAATTTTGGTTGTAGAGCGGGCGCCAATAAAAACTAAAACATTTTTTAATGAAAGTTTTTATTTTTTCCTGTATTTTGTCTCAAATTACTTAATGCAGCCCGAAAAACTGGTGACAAAACTCGAATTCATAATTCTCCAGGAAAGGTCGACACAAAATCTTTTGAAAATTTTCAGACTACACTAGTTGCAAAGTAATAGAGTGGCCAATTTTTCAGTTATTGTGTAGATGACCTCAATTTTTCAGGAATAGAACATTTGGCGGAAAAATTTGTATGAAAATTTCTTATATCGATACTTTAAAACAAACAAAACAGCAAAACATTTAATTAGTCAAATAACAAATTAAGGATGATTAAAAAAATGATAAAAGATTGACCAGACTTTTTATGCAGTAATTTTCAACATTATTTTATATTTGCAATAATAGATTAGAAGTGTTTTTCCTCGCTTTAAATTTAATATCAAATTTTTGCGTTTTGAAACAACTTCAAAACTTTTTTTGATCAGAGTAAGTTATGAATTTAAAAAAAGAAAACAAAACATTTTCTCAAATGAACACGCATCCAGTACAAAATACAATCGGAGTTTTTGCATCTATTGCAACATCCTTTGGATCAAAAAGCTCACCTCAATTCAAACAAAAAAGGTTGTTGAGCCGCGTTTAATTGCCGCTTACGCGTTTAACAAAGCACTCACTGACGCGCTAGTTATTCTGAGTGGAAACAGCAACTTTTCAATCCACTAACTTTACGGTATGTATTGGTACAAAAAAATTAGCAAAGTTTAATTTTTTAGGCTCAAAACATCTAAAGATAATCGAGAGTGTACAAAACTGCAGCCACATTGCTAGTTAGAAAGTTTCGAGAAAGTAACCTCCCACCACAAACATTCTTCGCTGTCTTTGGATGGCAGAAAAAACAATCAGTCAGTTTTTCAATTGAATTGATTTTATTCGACTCAATAAAACCCCAAGAAACATTTTTTTTTGAAAATGATTTTTTTGAACAAAAAATCCCCTAATGTAATTCTATATCAATAGTGATACCAAGTCAGTTTATATCGCCCAAAAATGAAATTTGTGTTTTGGTAATTTTTTCACAAAATTCAAAATAATTGAGTACAGACCTTACAGTACGTTGTCATGAAATAGGACGAGTTTTTGCTGTTGTGAAAAAACTGGAGAGAGCAATTTTGCTTTTCACAAAATGTTACACTGTGTATGACTAATTTTTGGCAAAAAATACTAAAAAAACATAAACCTTGAAAATTTTAAACAAAATTCCATTTTTCTTAACATAATTTTCTCTCAAACGCCATTAAGACATTAAAGTGATATTTTTAGCATCTGAAAACGTAATGATACCCCCAAAAAATAAATCTGGATCAAGTCATTTTTTTTCAATTTTGGGCGAAAGTAAATTGACGCTTAGGGAGTAGTAGCAGCAAAACTGTTCGCGCGGAAATTGTCCCATGTTAACCAGATTGGCAATTTTCAAATCCCAATAGTTCTTACTAAAAATCATCACGGGGCAAAATTTTAAACTTTATAGTTATGACGTAAAGACGTCCTAATCATTAAACAAAACTTGGCTAGATAGAATTGAAATAAGGCTAGTTTTAAATACAAATGTTTTCCGAAGGAAAACAAACAACGCATTGCAAGTTTTGCTTTTAATTGAAACCTAAACATGATTTATTTGCTGAAAGGTTTGCTTTAGAAAATTGATTTGAAACATTTGACTTTTTCAACTCTATTTTTTCATTTGACACTACTTTTCTGTACTTGAGGCAATTTAATTAAGAAAAAACTTTTTGAAAGTGAAGAATCAGACTTGTCGATTTCACTTTGTTGGTTGAAAAAGCTTTTTTTGACGTAAGAAAAATCGATTAAGTGTTTGAAACTTAAATAAATACTTTTTTGTACTTAGAGGCAATTTAATTAAGAAAAAACTTTTTGAAAGTGAAGAATCAGACTTGTCGACTTCACTTTGTTGGTTGAAAAAGCTTCTTTGACGTAAGAAAAATCGATTAACTGTTTGAAACTTAAATAAACTTAAAAAATTTTTAAAACAAATTGAACAATTTTCAATTCATTTTAACTTGACAGTATGCATTAACATTTCCAGAAGTATTCGAAATCGTCGATGCACTCATTGAGAAATTTATTTATCTGATATTTTTTTCTGGTACTTGACAATTTTTTTTCTTCTTAACCTTTCTTTTAAATTATTTCAAGCTGGCTTCAACCCGTCAATTAGATCAAAATTTTTGGGACCACATCTAGTGGTGGATGAAGGATTTTCTCGAGGGGGGCGGATTTTCAAAAAAAAATTCGAAAGTTTTGTCGACCACCTTTTTTTTAGGTTGACCAAATTGATTTTCCGAGCTCTGCTAAAGCACTGAACAGGCGCTGTTTGGCCCAATGTTTCAGCACCGCAGGCAAACTTTTGAAAAAATGGTTATGAAACAGCCAGGCAAAAAGACACTCAGCAGTGTGCCAAGAGTAACCGCCACACTCCACCCCCCCCCCCCTCGATTCTGGTTGCCAAATTAAATTTTTCCAAGGGATCCCGCTTCGGTATAACTTAATGACATCAAATTGGTCGACCAAAAGGGGAGCGCGCGCCGAAAAAACGCATTTTTTGTCAACATTTTCCAAAAATGGCCCAATTGTGCTGTTTTTTGGCCTGTTTTTTGAAAAATTTGATCGAGCTAAAGTCAGAAAAGTTCGAACTAGAAAATTTTTGAAAAATCGTAAAAATTTAAAACACAAAAAAACACTAAATTCATAAGTCACAAATTATCTAAAACATGAAATTCATATCGCGCGTTAATTATCCCAAACTGTTTAAACCTCAGTTACTTTCAAAAATTGATCACAGGTGAAATATCTTTTTAAATTTGAGCTTAGGACAAGAATACCTTGCGGAGAAAAATCCGTTCAAAAACTCTGCTAAAATGATAAAAGCTGAATTTTCCATTTGATGAAAATGATCTTTTGGGTCCTTTTCGACTCAGTTTTAGGAATAAGTGCTGACCATTTTACAACTGATCAAAAATTAAGGCTTGAAACTATTAAAGATATGCAGTTTTTTTTTGATAAATGTAAATTGCGAGATTGGCAATACTATCCTCGATATATAAGGCCCACACAATTTTTATGAACATGTTTCATTTTGCCTCATAGAAAAAATTTGGTTAAAAAGGTTTTGGGTTAGAAAAAAAACTGAACATTTCCGATGTGTTTCATTTATAATCAATATACAAAAAATGGGTGGGTAACAGTACCTTCTATGAAATGAATCAAGGGTAAAAGTTATGGGTATTTTCACAAAATCGTTTTTAATATAATTTTTGGTTTTTGATAACTGCGTAAAATCAAATTTACAAACCTAGTTTGCGTGGCTGAGGAAATCGGCTTATGTTCGACCCAAAACCTGTGGTCGAGGAGAGCCCTTCCGTATAGTCCCGCCGTTTTTGATGAGTCCCATTCAAATGCTCGTTTAGCCGTGCGGTCCCACCAGACCACTTGAAATATACTTGAAGTATTTCAAGCGGATGTAGGCAAAAGGAAAAATTGTAAGCAGTTTGTCGTTAGGAATGTTACTAATGTTTTCTTTAAAATGGAATTCTCAAAAATAGCAAATCACTGGCATTACTTCGGACAAAAAAGTATAGCTGAAATACTTTTGAGGGCCTTCTGAGAGGCAAGGAGGTCGAAAATTTTTTAATGTGCATTTTTCTAAATTTTAGGGGGCTTTCATTGCTGCGCAAGTAGGCAAAAATGGTGTTCTTGCAAGTAATCAGTAATCATACGAAGTCGACCTGATTTTTAAAAAAGCTCCCCAAATGCTGAGAACAAATTCTTAACTTTGATTTTTGATCTTTGACATAACTATCACAATTTCTAAAAAAAAATTACAATCTATTTCTGATAGTTATATACAAAGGTCAGTTAATTTTTTCACATTTTTAAAAATAAAATTTACTATTTTTTTCTTTATTTATAATAAATGCCAAAATATTGGCAATTTTTTTTTTCGATCGATCAACCTGAACCAATTTAATAAGCCTAAAATTGCTCACTTTGGCGCTAGAAATAAATTTTCACTTTTACATTATAAAAATTTATAAGAACTGTGTCAAAACGTTCACCGATCAAAAACGAAACGTTTTTTTTTTCGATTAAGAAAGTCCTTGATATTGCTGAAGGCAACACCTGTAGCCAAAGCTGCATTTTTTGGTTACTTAATAAGAATCTGATTGCTGTTTTGTTTTTTGTTTTTTTTTTCTTTTTTTTGACGTAGTTCAAATTATTGAGCTCAAGTTCGTTAAAGTTCGTGTGAAAGAGAACTTAAAACAATGAAACCAAATCAAATGAAGTGAAAAATCTATCCTAATATTAGAAACCTATTTTTTTGTAAGTCATTTGTTGATTCGACCGTGACAAATGATTCGAAGCTTACATTTGACGTCATCACATGTCACTAAAAGTGTGGGCCTTGAGGTCATCCATATTCATGGGGGCGTGAATTAAAAACCCACTCGAGTGGAAACTAGAAAAAAAACGAGTAGATAAAACTCTTAAGAGGTGTACAAAACGGTGACAACAAATCAAACCCAAGTCGATTGCGCTTCCTTGTTCAAATCTAACGACGTCATAGAAAAAAGCAAAGAATCCTTTTTTTCATTTTTTAAATAAGCTCCTCTTCAGTCACCGGCTTCTTAAAATTTTTCTTAATTCTCAGTGTTTCTTTTGATCAATTTTCGAATTTACAGAAGAACGATTTGCAAGACTTTCTAATACTGCTTAACAACTGCGGGAACATTTAATTGACAATTAATTCGAAAATTACCATATTTTGATTTCAAAAACCTGCCGAATGAAAAGATAATATCTCAATACTAGTTTGCTTTGCTCCTTGGTTATTTTGCTACATGCTCAGTAAAGTTATCTGTTTACAAAATTAGCAGTGACAATAGGATTTTTTCTCAAAACGAGGCTTCCCATAAGATCTTTGATCAGTTGCTAAATTTTGGACAAAACAGCGCAAAAAAGAGTAGGAAAAAAACAGCTATTTTTGGGCCTACTCTTGACATTAAAATTTTGGATCTCTTTTATTACTGAAAATTTGAATCAATGCTACACGAGTAGGGCGTGCATTAAAACTTGGTTAAAAGCGTGGAACGGAAACAAGAATTTCAGCAGCGTCAAAAAACTATATAAAAAAAGAAATCCCTCCCGTCCTAAAGGATGGAAAATGGAAAAAATCATTAAATTGGATCAAAAAACGATAAACATATGACTAGTATTAACAGCAAAAATCGCGAAATTGAGATCAAATGGCAATTTAAAACGCATTTGGAACGATATTTCTGTTTATGTGGAATTTATGTGGAGAAAATGGCAAAAAAAAACCAAGAAAGGCACTGTTTGATTTTAAATTTTGCGTTTTTTGCAAACAGTTACATTTTAGAATGGCTTATAAGTAGTTTATTATTTTTTAGGATAATGTCAACTCTAACTAATCAAGCAATTTTATCTTGAAAGATTTTGCAAGAATCTTGCATGATTCTTTCCAAGCCCCTGCTTTATTTTAAACATCTTGCAAGATTGATCGGCAAGGGAGCCTAATATATTGTTCGGAGCCTGTTATGAGTTTCAATTATAAATTTTTAATTCAAAATGAATCTCACCAGAGCTTTTTTGAGGACTCTCGATGAATATTAACTTGGAGGTATTTGCGTACGCCAAATAACACAAAATTTTATCAAAATTTACAAAAAAAATATTACCGTGAGCCGCATTTTGATACATTATCTCAAAAAATTTTCAGACGGGCAAAAATTTTTGCTTTTCAATTTGGTGTATAAGCAAGGTTTGAAAAATCCATACGACATGTAAGCATAATTTAGAAAATTCGGCCTTTCTGAAACAAAATTTCTGGACCAACCCTGCTTCAATTTTTGGCATCAATTTTTTTTATAGATTTGATTTTGATTTCACATAGAGCAGAAAAAACATGTTATTAAAAAATTGTATCAATGTTTCAGCTCATTTTCAAATTATTTAGCAGTAGTCTACAGGAAACCTAAATAAACAAGTGCGAGCAATTTGCCATTAACGAAATTGATAAAATCAAAAAACGCTGTCAACAAGCAGTAGATTGTTATTCAGACTCAGTTTTTTTTGTGTTTTTTAAAACTTGTACATTATTTGTTCCGATCATTGAAATTGTGGCTGAGCCCTACTACAATTTTTGGCTTTAATTTCATATTACAGATTTGATTTTTAGTTCATATACAGCGGGAAAAAAATAGTTTTTTTTTTCAAATTGTATCAATGTGAAAGCTCATTTAGCATTAGTCTATAGGAAACCTAAATAAACAAGTACCAGCAATTTGCTGATAAATCAAAAACGCCTGTCAACAAGCTGTAGATTGTCATTCAAACATAGTTTTTTTATTCTCTTCTAAGACTTTCACTTTATTTGTTTCAATCATTTTTGCCTTGTTTTGCAAATCATATCACGTCGTATTTTCTGTTTAAGCTCAGCAGATATTGTAAATTCTATGATTGTAAGGTCACTTATGAATTTTTTTAAAAGAATTATGGGAGGTTTAAAGATTGAAACTTTGGCCAATTTGGGTAAATAACGCCCAATATATTTCGTGCTATTGAACCGTTAGCAGAATTATTTCTAATTCAATTGAGTCAAGCTATTGGGTATATCATACTTTGCTATTAGCAAAAGAAATCACTTTGCACTTTACAAAGCGCGTGGGAGATGAAGAGAATTTTTTTTATCCATGTCCATCCATCCAATTTTTTAAAACAAACACTACTTCATCTGCCTTAAAAGGCAGTAGAAACACTCAGAATTAAAGATGAGCACTTTTGAAAACTTGAAACAAGCCATCTTCTTCAGATTTTATAATCCATTATTTCTATAAATGTCTCTAAGTACTGTGCCCTGCTTAATTTTTCAAAGCTTTAATTAGAATTATTAAAACTCGAACCAAAATTTCAATACAAAATTTGAAAAGTCTTCAATCAATGCAGTTTGTAATTGCAAATTCATTTTACATACAATTATGCCTTTAAGTAAAACTACAAAATTGAACCTTGCTTTCATTTTTTCATTCCATTGTGTCAATACCTAGCCTAATCCCCAGATACCAAACTCCAACAAAAAACGAGTATCCCTTAATTCAGATTTTTTAAATCCATTTTTCTGAAAATCTCTTGAGACTAAGAAAAAAGTTATGGCTATGTTTTTTAAATTTGACAGAAAAGTCGCACGACGGTATAAGATTGAATCAGCTAGCGTAACAGACAGCCGATATAAAACATGAATAGAAATTTAACTCCGAGAATAAGCAGAACAAGAATAAATTAAATTTTTATACAAAGTGCTACAAAAATTTACTGAGAGTTAAAATTATTTACAAAAAAATAGTCTTCAGATTGCTCTTGAAAACTTCTAAAGACTGAACACATCGAATATCATCTGGAACAACTTTCTGGAGATAACTACGAACTGAATTTTTCAAAGCGTAAAAAATTTCTGAATATGCTTGCAAGTAAACCTTAAGTTTGGCCCCGCACAGTAGTTGTTTCGAGTATAATACTCCATTATAGTGATTTGTCATTACCAGTCTCTCGATGTTTCCAAAAGTTTTCAATTATGATCCAATAAAAATGGATTATAACCTAACTTTTTGTCAAATCAATTAATCCTTTTTAATCGGTTTAACCAATTATAATGAATTATAACCCTTTTTTTCATGAGTTTTCGAAAAATGACTGTTGCTTGCGGCATAACCCACGTTGAATCATCGAATTACCAAAACTTAATCTTGTTTCCTATTTTTCTGTTCACAAATTGTTCACATAAACGTTTTTTAGTTTTCTTGTTTTCGCTGACGTTTATTAACTTGTTTTTAATATAGGCGCCCCTCCCCCCATTTATCCTCCCAAATCCAATAAACGTCTTTTTCTTCCCTCTCCCTAATGATCCCCCACACTTTTATTCCTCTCCCCCCCCCCCCCAACCTCTTAGTTTTACAAACCCATCCCCCTTTTGTTACTTTAAGATATTTTTGAACCATACCCACGTTTCCCCTACCAACACTGGTGTAAACGGGGTGTACACGGAGTCGAACAGGAGGGACTCGGAAAATGTGGGGGGGATGGGAGAAGGGCATATGTCGAACGTGGTTGGGGGGGGGGGGGATGCGTACCCAAGGATCAATGTGTTCTTTCGAGTTAAAATTTTAAGAACGCTTCAAAAAAGAGCAAACTTTTTTCACATCTACAATCAAAAAATCGACTTTTATAGACTTGATGAATAAAAGTAATCGATTATAATGAAAAGATAAACTGAGTATGATCAGTTATAATGGTTTTTTGAAGATGAAAATATTCGATTAAAACCCCAAAAAATCCATTTTGATGGTAAAATGGTTGTCCTAAAAAATTAACTGTAAGAATGAAGTATTTCGCTGATAAATTCCATTTAAATCAATTAATTCCCATAAAGCTCATAGAGCTGTTACATAATATTCCTTTTTTTATCTAAGAAAAATGTTCGTAGAAATCTGGGGTTAGTTTCTGCATCCAAAAATGGTTAGATTTTTGTGTTGATTTTTGCGCATACTTTGTTGCTGTGTTTATCGAAACTGCTCCCATTTTGAGTCTTTTTAAAATGAAGTTGCCCAACTCAAAAGAATAGTTCAATTTAAAATTATACCTCTAGAATTCAATAAAGAAAAGCTAATACTACTATGAACTACTCAAAGCGCCCTGTATATGACGGCCGAAGCAGTTTTGTGGTAACTAAAAAACTGTTAAGACTTTTTCCCTCAATTTTTTGTTGACTTTGCTCAATGAAAAAAGGGTGATGATGATCTATATCCCTGACAGGGGCGGAACAAGGATATTCTCGAGGAGGGAAGGTACATTTTTTTCAGAAAAATTTAAAAAGTTTTGTCGACCTTTTTCTTAAATTTGGCCAAATTCATTTTCTGAGCTTTCCCAGAACAGTATAAAGACCCTACTTTGGCTTAAAATTTTGAGCCGCAGGCAAATACAAGTCAAAAAAGCGGTTTTTGAGTAGTAGTTGGAACAATTTGACTAAACAAAAAATTGCATTTTTTCGGGGCGCGCTCTCCTTCAAAATTAGAATGTAATGGCGCCCAAGGCGCCTTTAGAAAAGTTTTAGGGTTGGTCGTCCTAAAATGGCTGGGTTAAATAATTTCAAAGGGGGCCCTTTGGATGGTGAGAGGTTTGAATTCCAGAGCAAAACGGCGTCCGCCCACCCTCCCCCCGCATTGTATTTTTGCTCGTTATCATAGTGTTTTTCTCGAAAGTTTTTTGAGATATTTCAAAGGATATTTTTTCCACTTTATTTTTGGAAGATTTTGTCTGCTACATACATTCATACAAAATTATATACATACATATGAACGTTGTCCTTTAAACGAACAATAAGTAACCAACTTTTGTTTAAACGTGCAAAATGTTGTGTGCGTTGAAAAATGATCTCACTAAAATTATATTGGTGTTTTTGTCTTTATCTATGAAGGTAAAAAAATGGATTATAGTTGGTTTGCAATAAAATTTAATGCTTTATTAAGCAATAGCAAAATAATCCATTTTTAACTGATTATAATCGATTTTTTTTTTTCACTTCTACAGACACTGACAAAAAACTCAAATTTATTGAAATCGCAAGATGAAAAAATTTTCTTCAACCTTACTTCAATTTGCCTTTTGAAGAATAGCTTCGTCTTCTTTTCCCATTAGCAGATACGGAAACTTTCAGCTTGAACAAAGTTTTAGAAAATGCTGATCAATTAATGTGCTGGTTGAACGGTTTTCAACCTGGGTTTTGACCGTCTCGATTGAAAATCAATATGTTTCGTCCGTCTCGATCAAATTCTTCCTTCCTCGACCGAAAAATATATGCTCGACTATGATCGACCCAAGCAGGATACGCTTCAACCGTTTACCAAATTTATTTCAAACCCTCGCGCAGATGATACCACGCCAATTAGTAAAATTGTCGAAGTCTTGATTTCAATGGCTCAGACGAGCACTCACCCGCTAAAAGTATATAAATAAAAAAAAAACAACAGCAAAATTAGTAATAAAAAAATTAAATTTACAAAAAAAAACTCCGAAGAGTCTTATACCTTGCAGGAGTCTTGCACGGCTTTGCATTCCGAATAGAAGAAAAATCGCCCCGGTTTGGCCAAACATTGTCAAAACATACCCGCATCTAAGAAAAGTGAAAAAAGAATAGCTTCAATATTATCGAAACGCATGACGCTTTCACACCACAGTTTGGAAAGAAAAATCTATAATAATCCATTTTTTTTATCAAATGTAAAAATTCTACTAACCCAGTTAAAATCATTTAAGATGGATTATTTTTCCGCCTTATTTTTTTGCGTTAGACGAATTGTTGCAAGAACGTGCATTGTTCTAATGAAACGTGCAGAAGACCGTCTCACCAAAACCCCCTCCGCCAACATTTGCCTTTTTGGCTTTTACCCCTGCCAACCCCCTCGCCCCAGTAGAAGCAACTCCCACTATAGAATCAACCCCTTCCCTGATTATAATTTTTAACCCCGCAACATTTCTGTAAATTTTCTGTGAGATTTTTTAAGTAAATTTGTACAAGTTAAAACTACCATTTTTAGAAGCGCGAATTCTCTCCAAAATTTTAGATACATACATATCTTTATTATAATCAAAGCCCCCTCCCCATGAAGTTTTTAAATTAATTACAAAAATATTTGAAAGGAATATAAATGAGTAACAAAAAGGAATAATGAAAATCAACATTGCCCAAATAAATTAAAATCGAAAGCGAACAGCAAGTTTAAACCGTGCAAACAATTTTATGCCCGTTGTAAAGTCGCATATTATTGATGTGAGAAAAATTTATAATAATGAAGTTTTATTGTCTTCATATAAAAGTGAAAAAATCTATTACATTGAGTTGCAATGCATTATGATGCTCTAATGAATTATAGCAAAACAATCCGTTTTAATTGATCATAAAATCGGATTGTTGTCCAAGAATTGCTCCAATTTTATCTTGGAGCTTTAAGTATAATTTGAAAATTTGATACAATAAGTTTTTTTGAGGTGATTGTAGCGGAAACCTAAATTTAGAACTTTTTCAGGCCCGTCTTTTGAACAATTCCATACCTCTGTTTTTTTGAGTTTAAATTCCTATCAATTAAAAAAAATCGCGGCTCAACATCTTTTCATGCTAAAAGGGGTAACTTCCTTTTAGAGAAATGTTCATTAAAAGCGTCACAATTTATTGTAAACACCAGCTTCAGGGTAGTAACTGCAATTATATTTGATGACAACTGTTAATTTAAAATCGATTACCTCAGGTAAAGCTATTGCATAAAAGAAATATCTCAATTAGAAAAGTTAGAAGGTTACTCAACGAGTCGGCGGGTGTTAAAAATTTATTCTCCTATTCCATATTTTAGTCTCATTTCAGTTAAAGCAAAGTTGGTTGATTTTATTTTCTCAAAGATGAAGTTCCTCAATGATAACTTATTTTTCCGTATTGTGTTTATCTTTCTTCTCTCTGCATTCCCACTTTTTGGAGAGCAAATTAAAACCCATCCTGAAAAGATTATAAAGGTATGTTTAGATCGCCTTATAGTCTTGAATTAAAAACTCCAATAGATCAATTTTTTGTTGATTTTTTAATATGAAAATTGTAGATTTAAAATTTTTGATTTCCTGGATGGCTTCGATCAGAAACTCCAGGATTGTCCTGGAACTTTTAAGTTCCTGGCAGAAAGTCCAAGTTTTTCCCTTGTTTATGTAACTAGTTTGCTAAAAGTTTGAGAAGATGGAGATATTAATCAAAAAGTGCAGTTGGCCTTTTTCGGAAAAAAAAGGTTGCCCGAAAGTTTAAATTTGAATGCATTCCCTATTTCAAAAAATAGGCAGATGATAGGTCTCTACAGAAAGCAAAAAGCTTTTGACCTCTTTCAAAAAGCAGGTCAAAACTGCTGTTTTTGGGGCACTTTTTGGAAACTTAGACCAAAAAAATGCGTTTTTTTGGATTCGTCGGTCGAAAATGGATGTAATAAAAATAATTGCAAAGGGGGGCCCTTTGGTTAGTGAGGGGGTCGATTCTCTGAGGGAGGGCGTCAGATCCATTCTGCCCCCATAAATCCGCCTCTGCTTTGAGCTGAATCTTTCTAGCAGCCAGAAAAATTTTGAACGAGATGCTATTGGACCAGCTAACTAAGCTGTGGCTTTGCTCAAACATCACTAGAAAATCCATTTTTTGGGCCTTCAAACATTGATTTTTTTCTCAATAGGGGGGAATTATCTACGAACGTTTTATAGATCGATCTACGCCATTTGTAAATAAGGCCGAACTTGTTTCAGTGGTTTCCAGATTCCGAATACAGCCACAACTACAACTACCCTTCAATAGACATTTACGATGTGCAAAATCTTGTCAAAAGCTGGGAAGGCATAACTCTGAAACTGGATAGACTTATCAATGCTGTCGCAAACTTCGCGGAAGTCCAGCTTTTCCGAGAATACTACTCTAGAGCCGCCGCGACGAAATTGGAAAGACGAAACACAATACGAGAAGATAATAACAATGCTTTGAATTGGATCCAAAAAATCCAAAAAAATAAACCTAAAAGAGCAAGAATTTGTACTTATTCATTATTTAATTGGAATGGAACCCGGTGCTAAATGGTTGTTGTTTGAATTTCTATCTTTCAACAATTTATTCCTCAAATCCAATTGTTGAAAAGCTTCTATAGCCTAAAATTAAATGCAGAAACAATGGAAGCTTGTCATGTTTTGGAGTTTGATTGATTGTAAGCTAGATGTTATATTAGAAAGGCGCAAGAAAATAGATAATCACCAGTCAACAGTTTTCGGAACAGTAGTTACAGAGTATTAGATTTTTATAATTCGGTAGCTAAATTACTGACATCTTACCCTGCGTGACGATTAGCATGCCTACCCGGGTTCGCGTCGCAGAGATAGTTATCGCTTTTTCAGACTCTGATCAGTGGCCGCTTGTCCATGATCAGTACATTTACAGCTCTGATTCATGGTATATTGCTGAATCAGGGATATTTATCCCTGCGAAGTCAGCTTGGGTAAGGAATACCCGGGTTGACCTCCATACGCCAAAAATGCTCATCATACAATTCCATACAACAAAAATCATTATGATACAATTCCATACATCAAATCTATGGAGTAAATGCTTGACATACAATTTTCATACATTTTCGAAAAACAATAGAAAAAAATTAAACCGTTTCTGCGGTTTTTTGAGAACAGTTAAACAGACTGGTGACAAAAAAAAACTGATTTTAAATCTTTTTTGAAAAAAATGCTTGCCATACGATTTCCATATACGACACAAAAAGTAATTTGGAAAATTTGCCACAAAAATTTTTATGTTTTTTTTTCAAGTGCAAATCGAATTTTGTACGCAAACAAACATTTTCCGAAATTTTTTTTTGCATGCAAAATTTAATTTTTTGTGTGCATAACGTAGTCCTGGATACAATAATTTTGACTTGTTTTCCTTTCACTTAAATTTTTGGCGTGTATGGCGTGTTTATATATGTCTTGATCAATGTCTGATAAGTTGAAAAATCAAATTTTTTAAATAATCATCGTTGAAAAATTTGCCAAAATTTATAAGTTTGTGACTTTCGTTATATCATTTGCGAAAGACAGCTTGAAGACAATTCAGGTCGTTTTCTATGCATTGTAAATGCAAGACCGTCTAACCTTTGGTGCTTAGAGTAACAAAGGTCTTTGTCACTTGTGTTCGGTTGCAAACACAACCAAAAGTTTTGTCAGAAAAGAAATTTACGAGCAAAAAAAAACAACTTTTTTGGTTTATGGAGAAAATACCTATCATACATTTTCCATTTATGCGAAAATGCATATTATAGAGTTTTCATACAATTTCCTGTACGTATGGAATTGTATGAAATTGTATGAAAAAAAATTTCCCATTTATGAGAATGGTACGATAAGCATTTTTGGTCAACCCGGGTAACCGCTACCTTTCTGTCCTACTTTTTTTAGTCTTTCAAAACTACCCCACTCTTTGTCGTTTTTTTTACCATACTGCCGTTCTTTGTCGTTTTTTCATACTGCCGTTCTTTGTCGTTTTTTCGTACTACACCCATTAGTTTCATGTTTTCCACATTTTTCCAGTGTGGTACAGCACGTTGAAAAAAATGACCGAGCTTTTGCCTAGGTCTTTCAAAAAAATTTGGCGCAGGATTCCGATCAGAAAACTTTTTGCACTTTTTGTTGACGCGATAATGAAAATTTGTGCTCTGACATTCGAGGATACTAAAATAAAGCTTATGATGGGGAATTTAAAACAAAACTTTCCAACTTCGAAAAAGGCAATTTACTTATGAAGGAACTCCTTTTATATAGTTTTTTGGCACGTTTAAAGAGAGAGACAGGCTTTCTTTTGATTTTTAATTCTAATTTAACACATTGACTTCCGTATTTGTTTCTTTATCGGTGCCACCTAAAATCTCTTGACGAAAAAAAAAGAATTTTTAGATCGAAAAAGGCTTGCTTAGCGCCATATCTTAGTTTAGAGTGTTTATGAAAATTCACGAGCGAGCATTTTATAGACCGGCAGCATTTTATAAATCCAAGGACAGTCAGTTTGCGAATTTACTCCTTCCGAAACTAGAGTCGGGAAGCTTTTTTTCATGTCAGGATATTTTCTGTTCAATTTTTATATCAGGTTTAGAACGAATATAAAATCTCGTATTCGCACTGCCAACTCGATAGCAGATGAAAAATTTTTGAGCGCTTTGCAAATATTCCATAAAAACACGGCTTGTCAAAGTATTTTCAAGCTCTTGTGAAACATTGAAACTATCATCATTTGATATCTTTAAATTTTTATTTAAAAGAAATCATTTTGCTGTTTTATGTCTCAATAAAGCTATATTTTAAACATAAAATAACTACTTATCCTACTAATATTCGAAATGTCTTTGAATAAACAACTATTGTTTTTTGAAAACAGGAGTTTTGTTCTTATCAGCAGGTCTTAGTTGAACAAATATAGCATCTGGTTTTTTGGTATTTAAATTTTGGAGACCGGTTTTTTGCAAACCGACTTTTTAGGATACAACGAAAAACTATATTGTAGCAGACAAATAGAGTTTAACTTGTCATACAAGATTCATACAATTTCGAAAAATGGTTGAAAAAGACATAAACTAATTTCTGCGGCTGTTTGATTCTAATAAAACAGTCTGGTGATTCAGAACCGAGGTTTTTGTTTTTTGAAAAAAAATACTTATCAAGCAATTGCAATATACGGAAATTGTATGATTAGCATTTTTTGACGGCGACACAAAAATTTTGAAAGTAATTTTGTAACTTGCAAAGTAATTTTTTTGTTTTTTTTTTTCAACCCCAAAAAATATATGCCTTGATCAATGACAGATAATTTAAAATAACAGTTTTCAAAATAATCATCCTTGAAAAAAAATTTGCCAGAACATATAACTTTGTTACTTTCGTTTTATCATTTGTGAAAGACAACTCTAAAGCAATTCAGGTCGTTTTCTATGCATTGTTAATGAAAGAAAGTCCAACCTTTAGTGCTTTGAGTAAACCATGGTCTTTGTCACTTGCGTTCGGTTGCAAACACAACCCCCGAATTTTCAGAAATCAAATTTAGAAACAAAAAATCAACTTTTTGGTTTATGGAAAAAACCTATCACACATTTTGCATTTATGGAAAACTGCTTATCTTAGAAGTTGCATACAATTTTCTGTACGTATCGAATTGCATATATTATATGACAAGAAGTTTTTCAGATAAAGAAATTATATGATAAGAAGTTTTGGTCAACCCGGGTGATGAATAATCACTTCCAAAACTTATAGTTTTTCAAATATATTAATCAGCGTCATCATGTAAATGTTTATGCCCATAATTACACTCGTGCCAATTTTAAGAGCAGAGGAGCAAAGCAGAGCAAGGCAAGAGTTGCTATTTGCGGAAACCGCATTTGAAATTAGCTCTCTGACCTATGTTACAATTATATGTTTGTAATTAATGTTTTTTGACGAAGAATTAATCTGCTACAAAAACCAGATTGCTAAAAACCTACGAGCATTCAATATTAAATAAAATGTTCATTTACTTTGGATTTTTGTAGTCTAAAAGTTATCATTCTATTCTATTCCCATGTCAACCTGAGACATTTAAATGGTTCAAACAACTGTTAAAATCCATTATGTTCTCAATTTCAAAAAAAAATTATTATCCGACTAAAAAGATTTTTTCCAAGTTGTTTTGTTTCGTGCGCTGTGGAAATTTTTTAACGAGTTTTGCATCTGCACGAGGAGCAAATGTGGGGGGAGAGTGCATTGGGAAAAGGCTATCTTGAGGGGAGCAAGGGATGGGAGCAAGGGATGGGAGCGTTAGGAGTGGGGGCTTACATATTAACAAAGATACAAACACACATACAATTTTGCCTACTTAGTAACTCTCAATAATGTTTAAAACCCGATTTTATTTTAGTTAATTGCCAGTCTCGATAGAAACGGTAGCCGCTCTGGTAATTGCGTCTGGTTAAGAGTGTCTGGAACTTATTTTCCTAATTAGTATCTTTTAATTGAAATTTTTTTGATTACAGTAATTTTTCCGACCATTAGAATGGGGAGGAACTTTGTATTCGGGTGTATTTTAGTTCTTTTTTTTCCACGCAAAATCAAATATAACAAATAATCATTGGACTGGTTTGAGCGACAGTCATTATACTTATTAAAGACCTTCCAGTCGTGATTTGAACCATTTTTTTAAAAAAAAAATCAAACAAAATAATAACCAGTGTGAAGTTTTTGATTTTTCGTCTAATTTTGAGCGAGTAAAGCGAGAGAACAGGCTTGCTTATGCTTAATTTAAGCCGTTTACAATAAATTATTTTTGCTTAATTTTAATTTCATTCAAGTGACGCTAGTTTGTGGAGTTTTTTAACGCCAATTGGGAAACTAGACCTTCAAAGCATTTACAAGATATCTAAAAAAAGTTGTGACAATTTTTTTGATTTTTTAAGATGATTTTGTTTTTCTAGTAATTTTTTTTCAAATTTTTTGTCAAGCATGCCTATTTCCTAGTTTATTGTTCAAAACTTATTGTTGTTAGTTTTTTGTTCGTCTATCAAACCACCAAGAAATAACGATAGTAATTTAAAAAAAAAAACCTTCTTGTGTTTTTTAAAGACTGTGGTCGGAAAATTTGGTGCTACTTGCACAGAAGCTGGCTGTCCTTTTTTAAATTTTATTTCATTGAAATTATTTGAAAACTATTAAACAATAGCAAAAATCCTTTTTAAATTGATTGTAATCAATTAGTTTTCACTATATTGATACTGGCCGAGAAACTCATTTGTATTTAATTATTATCCACGAACTCCAGTGCGGCTAGCCCGATGATTTTTTGATACATGCAATTTCGCAACTTAGTCCTTTGCCTTTCGAAAGATTGTGATTAAATCATGACAATCGTGTGAAAAAATCATGATAATCGTTCAGAGGCTTCAGATTATTGTATTTTAGAGTCTAAAGAAAACAGATTATCGATTTATACCAATCTTCAATAATATAATAAAACAATAATCTTTTGAACAACCTTAAGATATCTTCAAAACTTCCCTTATGATCCTTTTTAAGAAGATGTGTATTATTGACTTTCAATCAGGTTTTTGTATAAATTATGCATTTAAACAAAACTAAAAATTTGAATCAGATTGAAAATTTTGTCTTCCAGTCGATTTTGTGCAATATAAATCAGCAAAGATTAATTTATGCAATTGTTTTTAAAACAGTTTGATTGATTGATGGTAAGTTGAACAAGAGTTCAACTTCTGAAAATCAAAAAAGATGGGGGTCGCTAAAAATATCCCACTCCTGGGTGAAACACGCCTTAAATCAGCTGCTCCTAAATCACTTCTAAGTTACTTTAGTCACGTTCACATGCAATTTGAATCCTGAACGAAATTATAACACTCAATTCAGTGAAAGATTAGGTAAAAGTATGGTAGTTAGGCCCCTGAAAAAAATCAAGCCTGGCATTTTTTTCTAAAATTTCAAAAACACAAGAAAACAAAAAATTCAACTTGTTTCCGAAAATTTCGAGCACGAAAAAAATTTTCGGGAACATTTTAAATTTTTGCGACTCAAATATCTTATTTGTACCAATAAAAATTAAGAATTCATCGAAGGTCTTTCACAAATTAAACTAAAGGCTTGGACAGGTGTTTGTTATTTTTCCTCTTCAAATGCTTTTCATAAATTGAAACCAGATCAGATTAAATTCAGTTAATCAGTCTTAAGCCAGCAGGTGCAAAATCTAAGCGCTCTGTTGAAAAATCAACTCAAGAAATAACAATTAGCGCAAGAAATTCATTTTTGATGCCTTACATTCAATAGTTTTGATACCGTACACAAAAAAAAATCAGCTTCTTTTTAAAATAATTTTTAGCAAAATTGTAACCTGACATTATTATATTTTAGTCGATTTTAGTTTTTTTTCTAAATAAAACAAACCAAAATTATGACAGCCAGTATAACAAAAAGAGGTCTGCTAGCACCGCAAAATACATTCTTGGATTCGTTGCTGAAGACGATTTCAGCTGAGCAGACACATTTCGTGGTGGCCAACGCGAGACTCGAACATTACCCCATCGTACTCGTGAGCGATGCGTTCGCCAGCATGTTCGGATATTCAAAGTCTGAAATCATGTTCGAGGCAAGTAGACTCCATGGTCGGCAAAAAACGCTAATCGTACAATTCACACACACTTTCTGTATTATATTGGATTTGTATGAATAGCATTTTTCGTTGCTAATTTGTTTGGAATTGTAATGTTAGTGTAATACTTTACGGTCCGTTTAGAGCCAATGGTTAACAGTTGGTGGACCACGCGTCAGAACAAACCGAATTTAGCGCGCGAAAACAAACGTATTTTTCTCAAAACTTTATCTGAAGTGCCAACATTTTTGGCAAAATAGGGTGTTTTTTTGGTGTTGTATGGAAGCATGGAATACGAACCATTTTGATTCAACTATAAAAACTTTTAACAAAAATTTTGGAAAATTGTTTGAAACTTTGACCCCCTCCCCCTCGTGAAATAATTTAACAAAAACTGGCTTCACTTTTAATTTTTTTAGAGCGCTAAGTGCACGTTTATGCGCGCCCCTCAAAGAGAAGAGGACCCGTTTGGGATGGGGGATTCAATGGAAGGCAGTGGGAGCCAAGATGACGAGCTGGAACAGCGACTGGAATTCATTTTCAATTCCGAGAGTACGGAAAGTCTCGAAATAGCCGTGCAAACCAAGGTGGGGCTTTTTTTACTTGGGAACTATTTTCTCTTTTGTTTTAAATTAACAAACTAACCCTGAGAGTTGATTTTACTTATTTATAATCTTTTTAAGTGAGTACTTAATTGATGTTTTTTGAGTTCAAATGTGGATGACGAAACCCCTACTGCCCAGAGACTACAGTGCTGGGCAACTGTTTGATTTCAAAAACAACTGTTTGCAACTGTCTGCCCTTCAAAATACATGAAAAAGTTTTTGAGCTAAAAAAAATTTGAAAAAAAAAGAACGACAAACCATTTTTTCCCGAACTTTTTTGGAAACATTTCTGCCCAGACGCTGTGAAATACAATGTGATGTATATCTAGCAAAGTATTAACAAAACCAAACAGCTTTCAGCCTAAATTCAATTTAGAACAACTCATTATCCGGATTAAATCTTGCTTACTTATTAGTAGCACGAAACATACCGCGCATTAATTATCCCAAGTTAGCAGAATTGAATCGACCGACGACTTTAAACAAGTATACTTCTAGAGTAAAATGTGGTGAAATTCTTTTTAAGACGAGCTCAAAGCATCAAAGTTTTCAGATGCTATAAAAAAACTAAGTTCAAAAACGGCTACCTTCAAAGTTGAAACAAGACTGCTCGTATCAGGGCAAAGCCCTGAATGTTCGGACTGCCTTTTAAGGTTTATGGAGCAGTAATAACATTTAAAAATTCAATGAAATAAAACAAAATCGAAAAAAAAATTCTAAAATTTGAAATTTTTTATGAAAATCATCCCCCCACACGCCATACAAAGTACAAAAGGATAGATTTCGCTCCTTGTAGCAAACCAATTATGGCACATAAGCTTCTTTTAACCAATTTGGAACGATTTCTAAGACGGATTAACTCTCCGCTTACGCGTTAATAGCGCGAAATAGATCGCGCGTTAATTGTCCCAAATTGGCCAAAATGGCAATCTTTAAACCCCCGTAACTTTACGAAAAATGATCACAGGTGAAATATCCTCTCAAATTTGAGCTCAGGACAACAATACCTTTTGAAGGATATCAAAAAAAATTCTGTCAAAAATGGCTAGTTAAAAAGTCGAAATTTGTCTGAAGAAAAAACACCCACCCCGAGCACAAATATTCCGTTACTTTCGTATCGAAAGTCGGAACAATTAGTTACAAAAAACACCACATCAAGCACAAATCTTCCGACACTTTCTTTGACAGTCAGATTATTAAATGGTTGATGAAATCCTTTAAGTTACCTTAACTTCATTGATGCTGAATGTTGTTTTCAAAAAATCAGTTGGCTATCAGATTTAATGCTAGCTACATTCTGAAACAATTAAAATTAAAAAAGACCAATATTATTGAAATTCAGCGATTGCAAAATAAGTAGAATTTAATGTCCAAATTGTTTTTCAGCATTAGTTTTTTTTTCGAAAAATGGCAATCTGGTTTTTAGGAACTTTTTTTAAAAATTTTGACGTCCCTGTCCGGACATTCTAAGAAAATCCAGGTTAAAATTATGCTCCATCTTGATTCTGAGCGGCTGTTTTTTATTAGCAAAAAAATAAAGATGTTAGTTAAGCACTTTGAATTTGTTTTTCTATTGAAATTTGACATGGTGGTGCTTCAATACAAGAATCATCCTTATTTTTCCATTTGGTCGGGTGGCTGTTTTCAAAAATCAAAGAAAATGTGTCTTGGTCTGAAATAGGGGCGAATGTCCCTTCCTCTGAATAGAACGGAAAAGCAGACTAGACTATTCGCAAACTATTCTATCATTACGCTTGCATGGCCTCAATTTTAATTCGTCATTGGTTTGGGTGCAATTTAGTTGAAGTGTCTAGCCAATACTGATGTAGGTTTTTTTGAGGTGGTTGTTCAACAGAAAATAATAAATTTTTGGTCTTGCTTAAATGCTGAGCTATATTGGCTTTTCGAGCTATTCAAATCATCGCAAAATTAGTTTGAAGAAAAAACGCCTGGTTTTAAAAGCATGTGTGATGGTTCACGTAGGAATATCGCTTATCGTTGTACGCTCTCTCCTCAAAATAAATGTAAAAAAATTAAGTACCAAATTTTTAAAATTGCATATCATTAGAAAGTTTGAACTCTTTAGATGTTCAGGCTTCTGAGGAGGACGTCAAGAGGAATCCCCTACCTCCCTTCCCCCTAAATATGCTCTTCCTCAATATGGTTTTTTCGCGGGTTTTTATGACAATCAGTGTCTATACTTTGCTCATAATCAAAGAGCGCTAGTCAAACGAAAGCTTACATGCTATTATGTCTACGTACGAATTAAATGGGTATAGTATGACTATAACAATTTGATGAAAGTTTCGTTTTTCTTAACGCATGTGTTTATTATGGCTGAAAAAAATCATTTCGATAAAAAGTATGGTGGAGACGGAGCAATAGGCAGAATGGTCTAAGAGCAGAATGGGTCCAAGAGCAGAAAAACGGATCAAAAAACAAATTTTTTAATTAATTTAAACGGGCTAATTGATTAAAAAATATATTATAATAGTCAATAATACCAAAAAAACTGAATAAATGTTGCATACAATGACTGTTTTTATCAATTTTTTTTAAAAAAAACTAAATTATATTTACCAAATGAAGCTTCTTTGATAATATTGACAATTTTTATACTTAATTTACCGATTAGCTTATAACTGATTTTTTTTCTGCTATTAGACCTAATCTGCTTTTCGATCATTCTGCTTATTGATTGCTCAACAAGTATGATGTATTCAAGTTTATATTGCATTTTTGCTTTTCTATTCAAAAAACGCGGTTGCAACTGCTGTGACTTGATGCGGTACGAATAACACAGAGATTTCAAAAAACAGATAAATTTTGTAAAATGGCGATCTCCAGGCTGGGTTTTTTTAAATATTTAATATAATAAAATAAATTGGACCTAACATGGAAACAAGTTATTATAATTAAAATTTCAATTTTTCGATTTAACGGCCATCAATTTTAAATCAATCGGCTTTGTTGTAAGCGTTTTAGGTCGACTAACATAGCCGACCTTTTTTACGTGCAACCCATTGATTTTCCGAGCTCTCCCTTATTCTAATCAAGACTTGATAAAAACAGTTTTGGAGTTTTTAGGCAGCTTTTGGAAGGTTTTGTCCATAAAATTGAGTTTTTTCAGCACTCGCTCCCCTCTCAAAATAATTGTGTTTTTAGTCTCGCTCAGCAAAAACTTGATGTCTTTAAATAAAAACAATGGGGGAACCAAACGGGAGCTGGGGCGGATAACCGTCCTCAAGGATTCGACCCCCTCGCCAACCAACGGGTTCCCCGTTTGCCACTTTTTTTCTATGAATTCCACTTTAGTTCGACCAACTCTAATACTTTTCTGAAGGCCTTTTCGTCACCAATATATAAAACTTTAAAAGAAAAAAATTGCGCCAAAAAAGACGCGATTTTTGGTCGAAACTTTGCAAAAAATTCCAAAAATGATATTTGACCTGTTTTTTAAATTTGCCTGTAAGCTAGAGTTTTTGAAGTTTTCGGAGAGCGCTCGGAAAATCTAATTGGATCGATCCAAAAAAAGACACTGCAAGATCAAACTGTGCTCTGAATAGCCCCACAAAATAATGTCTGCATGCTCCTGGATTCCAGAGACCAGTCTGTAAATATAGTCCAAAACTATTGTAGATTCCACTTACAAACATTCCGTGGGCTCCGCATACAAACAATTGTAACACAAAAATCGTCGGTACAGTGAATATAACTGGATATTCCGGATATCGTGAATGTAAGCGGATTCCGCAAAATGTAAGTTGATGCAGCAAAAAAAGTGAATCGTTGTTTTCTTTTTGTTGTACTGCACTCAACTAGTCCATGAGTGATCAATTAAACTATACAGCAAAGACAAAGTTCAAAAGTAAGATTTTAACTGCTGTTGATAGACTTCAATCAAGGTTCAACTGAAATAGTGGATCTTCCCCTTTAGTCTTTGAAATCAATCAAATTTTTTAATAATTCGGCATTACTACCCATGAAACATTTTACCTCAGTTCGTTTTCATTCTTTCAGTGTTTGTGATTGGAAATGTTTTCATTTTTTTAGTATTTGAGATCGGACAAGTATTCATTTTTTCAGTCTTTAAGATTGCAAAATAATCATTCTTTCAGTATTTGAGATTTAGCTGTTGAGTTCAAATTTATGGCAGTATTGAACTGATGGACAGTCTTGCTGATGACACGCAAAAACATATTTACTGAAGAAGGTTATTTCAACACGTAAACATATGTATTACTGGAAAACGCATACAATATGCGGATTCCGCTTAAAACTTGCAGAATTCGCTTACAGATGCGGATTTCGCAGCAGCTCAATTTTACCATAGCTATAGTCAGGAGCGGATTTAGGGGGGGGGGCGGACGCTTCTCCCCCCGCCCCACACGGATTAGACCCCCTGCCGACCCAAAGGTTCCCCCTTTGGTACTTTTTAAGAAATGGGTTTTTGGCCGACCGACCCTAAAATTTTTCAAAAGGCATTTTTTTGTCAAAATGAGCGCCAAAAAAAAAGCAATTTTTTTGTCAAAACCTGTTTTTTTTTCAAAAATTTGCCTGCGGCGCAGAAAGTTTGCTCTATTTACGGTCTTTATAATGCTTCAGGAGAGCTCGAAAATCAATTTGTTTGACCTAAAAAAAAAGTTGTCAAAATGTTCGAAACTTTTTTGAAAATCCGCCCCGCCTCGAGAAAATCCTAAATCCGCCACTAGCTTTAGTTATTATTAAGGTGTGGACTTCACAAACTTTTTTGGGTTTGCAAATACTGTTGCGGATTCCGCAAATTTGCTTATTTTTGGAGCGATTTTGAGCGGTACGATGATCTAGCTGTTTGTTTGTGGAATTCAAAACAGCAAAGAAGATCAAAAAAATAGTAGCAATGTTGCGGATTCCGCAACAAATCTGATTTTTGCCTTTTGCAGAGTCCGCTTACAGTTCAAAAAATGTACAGTTTGGCCTCGTAATGAGATTGACAAAATTTAAAAGTATGTATTTCGAAACACCCCCTCCCTGAAACCTTTGGGTGGTCAATTTATTGAGTCCCCGAAGGAAGGGCGTTGCACTTGTGTCTTAATTGTTTTTGCACTTTTGTCTAGGCGGGCAACACAATCTGGGTGGACTTGTTCGTGAGTCCGATCTATGACCAAAAAGAGTCGGTGGCTTTCCATCTGTGCTGGGCGAAGAAACTTTCCAGAAGCAGATTCAAGGCCGACAACTTCAGCGCTCTCCCTATGAAGGGTATACAAATTACAGAGCCGTATCTTTCTTTTTTTTTTAAAATTGAATCATCATAATGCTCGATTTTGAGTGGCTTAAAAAAGCTCGATTCTGATTGGCGAACTATTTTCAGCTAGGGAAATTTTGGGCCATTTACAAGAATAAAAACCCAATGGCTGCTTTTCGAAATATTTCTCTGAGCTTTGAAACCTGGACAAATTCTTTTAAAAACCTGGACAAATTTACTATCTAATTTAAATTCGCTCGATATTATATTTTTTCTATGAGCAAAAATTAACCAAAAAAATGCTTGCAGAAATGCTTAAAAATTTGAAATATGAGATATATGATTAATTAAGTTTCAATGTTAATATTAAAAAATGAATTTAGATAGATAATAATTTCTACTTGACTGTGTCATCTTTTTATGACCGTTTGTTCCGATTAGGCATGGGTAAGTTTGCACGTCTGGCTAAATCGGTGAGTCAGGCTCGGAAGGCGGTGGGGAAGAAACAGAACGAAGTGCACCCCACAGACATGGACCTGTCGCAGTTGAGTGGGGCAGCGGGGGAGGGGGGAACTAACCCGGATGCACCCCTTCCAAGATACATGCGGGAAAAACCGCAGGCAGGTTTTTCAACTTAAGGTTATAAGGATAAAGATTTTCAACTTGAGATTTTTTCAAGTTTTTGCCAAGTTTTTTTCCTAAATTTTACCAAAAAAATATACCATATGATAACTTTGCAAGATAAAAGCAATCAGCATTGCATTCAGATTCCTTATTTAGAAGAAAAAAAACATGGAAAATATGAGCTTGAGTAACCCGGTTCGAATCCGGCTGAGGCAGGGCTCGCTTATTGACTTATTTCGACTTATTTTTAATTTCAATCAACTTCTTATGTTTTAAATAGCTGAAACCGAAAAATTTTTTGAGAAAACTCTTTTAGCGAGATGATAACTTTTTAATCAGAACTACATATAATTTTTAGAAAAAACTTTAGTCATGCAGCAAGAATGACGAAAAAGCCAGACACAAAAAGCATGGATGAAAATTGGCCTCGAACCCCTAACCTCTTGATCAAGACACTAAAATACTACTAAACTCACCATCACAGAAATATCTTTTGATTTCTTATTTAGATACCGCCCTATACCCTCTTACACACGTCCAGTTTCACCCAGACCTGGAACTGGACCATCTTCATCCTGACAGTGTACACAGCGCTGTCTGCCCCCTTTGAACTGGTGTTCGGGGAGGGGGGACATTCCGGTCACAGTTGGTACAGCAGACTGAGCGAGGCTGTGAATTTGTGTGTAGATGCCGCATTTATTCTGGATATTTTTATCAGTTTCAGAACTACATATGTCGACAATGGTTTGGAGGTAAAAACTGCAATATAGTTGTTTTAAAAACAAAATCAAACAGCAGAATAGAAAACATACGTGTTGTGCAATCTGAAAAAATGCGCTAAAAAGGCTGAAAAAATAGTATTATCTATAATTTAGCAGATTTCTGTCTATGACTTTTGCAGCCTCCAGAACCAAAAATAATCAAGCTTTCAACTTAACTAAATTATTCTTTGGCAGCCCCAAGTTGAAAGATACGCATTAATTTTAGATGCAACTCAAAAATATTGAATTTTTATTGTTATTCATCCGTTTTTTCATTGAAGTGTTTTCCAGAGTTCCGTATCAATTTATATTTTAATGCTTATTTTCCTTTCAGTTTCGCTTTGGTTTTTCTTGACAATCACCGGCTCTCAGGTATTTTGAGTAAATTTTGACGATTTTTTGAACCAACCATACAATCCCCCCCCCCCCCCTACGGTAGGGGGAGATAGTGAACGATTGATTCGTTTCTTTTGCCATTTATCCGCGATTCAACCGATTTCCATCTCCAGGTTGTGTCGAATGGAAAGAAGATCAGACGGAACTACCTGCGAGGCTGGTTTGCAGTCGACTTCGTCTCCTCTGTGCCCCTAGAGATGATAGACATCGCCTACAAACAGGCCAGGCCGGGCGACAGCAACATCATCGCCAAACTGCGCATTCTCAAGGTCATCCGACTTCTGAGACTGTTCCGAGTGTTAAGGACTCTGGATCACTACATGGAATACGCAGGTGTATGGTTTAGTTTAGGGCTTGAAAATTTGGAAATTTAATGCCATCAATATGAAAAAAAAGTTCCAGTTAATAATATCACCAATTGAAAATTTATTTGGAGTAGCGACCTGAAAGATTCGGCTTTGCCATTATAACCCTCAAAATATTAAAACAAAAAAAACCGGAAAGTTGATCGGGCTTTGATTTTTTTTGCTAGACTAGGAGGAAGACTTTAGGAGGAAAAGCCGGGGAAGTTGTACAGCTTAGAATATTAAATATAACCGAAAAAATTCTAGGGTCGGTTAGCCAAAAACTGATTTTGTCCGCAGGAGGTCGAGTTTCTGAGGAGTGCGTCGGGGGCGTCCTCCCACCTCCTTTACCTTTAAATCCACCCCTGAACAGTATATAATAATTTAAGAGTATCGCAGTTCAAAATTTTTTAACAATCACATAATAGTGTTTTTGACTTTCATTTTTATGGCAATATTCATTAAAAAGAACCAAATTCTCTGACATAAAATCCCGTAACAAAAATGTGGGACAAATTATGCTGGTTTAATTTAAAGGCTGAAATAATCGAGGAACAAAATGTGCCCCCATTTAAAACATTTTATCCATAGGTGGTCAACTGCTGATGTTTCTGAGCATCTTCATCCTAGTTGCCCACTGGTTTGCCCTGGGCTACTTCGCCCTGGGCAGAAGTGAGCTGCACAGAGACTTCTGCTGGTTGAACATGATGGACGAGACATTCAACAAGGATCTCTACCGCTGCTGCGACGCCTCCGAAGACCCCAACAACCAGACTGTCATTGACACTGGCACCAACCTTGAGCAGGTGGGTGTCATTGTTGCTATAGTTATTTTACGTTTTTTTTCGTCTGCAAACAGGCCAGGTCAGGTTGTCAACTCCCTCTCAACTGGTTGTCAACTCCCCCCTCCCCCTCTCAATTACAAATGCCAGTTTCAGGAATTTGGCACTCTCGACACTCTCTCACCAACGGAGTTGAAAGATGCTGCAAATTTGAGTTATATGGAGTAGTTGATCACAAAAATACAATAATTATAAATATGTTTTCGAATTGGTGTTGCAGAAAACGCTCAGTCTCGTTTTCAAAATAGAGTTTATATATTTGGATATTTGGACCTTTTGTGTGTAACAAAATTCGGGGTTCGGTACATTGATGCCTTAAATGCAGTCGATAATGCCTAACTCACTAACTTTCTACATGTTTGTATAGTTTTCTCATCACAACCCGTCCAAGCAACGACTTCAATTCGAAAAAAGAAGAAAAAAAATGAAGCTTTTTATGAATATAGTCGGAACAATTTGGATTACTTGCACAACAACCGGCTATACTTGTGTTTATATGCTAATATACACCTGTATATGTGGTAAAAAAAACAGCCAATTTTTTCAACCACGGAGTTTGTCCACAAAAAGTTACGTTTCTTTTTATATAATTATGTGTGAAATCTCAACAATAGCATACATTGCAAATTCATCAAATGAAGTTTATCTGCATGTTCACTGCCACTTACACTCTGGGTTTTACTCTGGTGAAAAAATTGTTTGAGCGTTTTTGGAAAAAACGGTTATTTTTTCAATGAAGTAGTAATGTTACATAATTGACGTAATAATAGCATGGATAAAATGTATATCATACAATTTCATAGTATCAAAAAAACCGACTATGCTACTTTCATAAAAATATATTATTGTGATAAAAAAGTACTTTGGTTCTTGAGTGACCAAAAAAAGCTTAATTTAACAAGACTGCTCCTATCAGGGCGAAGCCTTGACTGTTCCGACTGCCTTTTAAGGTATATGGAGCACTAATAACGCAGTAAAAATTATATGTAATGAAAAATGAAATTTTTTCTTCATATGAGATTTTTTTTTGTGAAAATCATCCCCCCACACGCCACATAAAATTCAAAATGATTAATTTTGCTGCTAGTTACAAATCAATTATGGCCCATAAGCTTCGTTCAACCAATTTGGAACGATTTCTAATACGGATTAAATCTCCGCTTACGCGTTAATAGCGCGAAATATATCACGCGTTCATTGTCCCAAATTGGCCAACATGGCAATCTATAAAACCCCATAACTTTACGAAAAATTATCACAGCTGAAATATCTTTTCAAATTTGAGCTCAGGACAACAATAGCTTTCGAATGATATAAAAAATTTCCGTCAAAAATGGCTAGTTAAAAAGTCGAAATTTGTCTGAAGAAAAAAAACCCACCCCGAGCACAAATATTCCGTTACTTTCTTTTTGTCCCTCTCGAAGTCGGAACAAAAAGTCATAGTCTGGAGAAATGCTTTTTTCAGTCTATGAAATTTTATGAACTTCTATGTGAAGCAGTTTTCTCAACCCGGTATCTAATGGAAGATTTACTCGTGAACAAAAAAAAAATGATTTGAAGTGTGGAAAACAATGTACTTCTACCGCATTTTTGATCAATTTAAGGTCAATTCTTACGGCTGATTTACAAATAAAACAAACTCATTTGCTATTATTTTACGATTCCAAAAAATATATATATTTCGGCCTAGATATTTGTCGGCTACGTGAGCTCCCTCTACTTCACCATCAGTAGCATGACAACAATTGGGTTCGGCAACATCGCCGGCAACACTGAGAACGAGAAGCTATTCTGCATAGTACTCATGTTCTGCGGATCACTTCTGTACGCCATGATATTCGGAAACATCACCACTATATTCCAGCAGATGAGTTCACAGACAACCCGCTACCAGAACACTCTTAAGAGCATCAGGGACTTCATGAAGATTTATAATGTGCCTAAGGTTACTGTTTTCATCGAACTTCACAAAGAATTCCCCCTTATGGTCTCCCCTAAAGTCCCTCTAAAATCTAACCTATGGTCCCCCTTAAAGTCCCCCCCCCCTCAATAAACCTAGGATTGCTAGTTTCATCGAACTTCACCAGAAAGTTCCTCCTATGGTATCTAAAATTAAAAGCATCTATACTCTTTTAATCTTTTTTAATGGTGGGGGGGAGGGTAAATACAAGAGATGCAGTCATCTTTTTATATGGTTAAAGGAGCTCCTGGTTCTTAAAACTCGTCATGAAACAAAAAGTTTATGATAAAGAATTGCTAACTTAATTCGGATCATTGAATGAGGCAAAAAGGTATGTATTTTTTTGATCCAGACAAGGAAGTCTTAATTATTATCAATTTCGCAATTTTTGTTAGATGCAGCAAAGAGAAATGTTTAAAGAAATATGAAAAAGAAAGCAGAAATATATAATAAAATACAACAAGGATAGCGTGGTAAGATGAAAAATTTTGCGCGTGGTGTAATGGTAAAAGTACACAAACGCGTAGCGTAATTGATAACAATTGTCTCAAAATTATATAACAAGCTGACTTTTCACTGGTCGGAACAATAAGTTATCAAATACCAATCATCAAACATAAGTTTTTAGCCAACATCATTCACGGTAATCATAATTCGCTGAAACTCATTCTTGATAGAAAATACATAACAAACAATTTGCTGTCAAGGGTAGATATAGTGCTTTTTTATTTTCAGTTTTTTTTGCACCAAGAAACTCTATTTTTCCATGATTAACTATCGATAAAAAGATATTAGAGGTACCTGAGAGCAGACTGCCAAATTTTACGGCGTTTTCGCAAAGGGCTTCATTTTAATGTAAATGTACTGAATTTTACAGAGAATTTAATCTAAAATGCAAATAATATATTAGGATTATAATTTTTATAGAAAGTAATAAAAAAAATAAAAAACTTTATAAATTGTTTAAAAACAAAAAAAAATTAAAATTTTCAAAAAAAAAACATGTAAATCAAAAACAAAAACTAAAGAAAAAATGTCCGAAAACAGAAAAAATATATATATTGAACTATTAAAAAGAAGCACACTTTTCTGTTGGTAGGATCTGTCGGAGCGAGTGTTGGATTATGTGATATCGACATGGACTATGAGCAAGGGTGTGGACACTGAACAAGTGCTGGACTACACCCCCAAAGACATGCGGGCAGATCTCTGCATACATCTCAATAGGTAACGAAAGAAATAGTAAACATGCAGGTTTTCGGGGGGGGGGGTTTGGGCTTGTGGGGAAGTAATGAAGCATTATAAGGACATCAAAGTTCCTTCCCACGTAAAAAAAATTTTGGGCACATCGCTGAGAAGGCTTCCTAAATTTTGAACAAGAAAAATTTAGCGTTTCGAGGTCTGCTATGTTCCCAATAAATATCTTTTTGGACATTTTTTCAAGTCAAAATCTAATAATTTTTTTTTGATATCTAAACTGCTCATTAGTACATGAAACAAGTATTGAAAAGTAATTAAGTGAAGAAAACTTTAACAAACTGTTATTCGATAAAATACCTTCTTTTCAAGCTACTTTTTAAGCTGGGTTTGTCAAAAGCGAATATTCTTCGCCGAAAAACGTTTGGTATGATGCGTTTAGTTCTTTTTTGATTCAAGAATTCGAGTTTTAATTTCTGAAACAAAAAAAAGACGAGCAAAACCTAAAATCATTTTGTTTATTTATATTTCGACTGGTATTACATCAGCACCTGTTTTAACTCCTTTTTTCTGAAAATATTGATTTAGTCGCTTGAAAAGTACACCAATTAACAATATTTTAGTTACCTGATCTAAAATCTGCATTTTGAACAATATTAGTATTTTGTTGTTTTACGTCCTTGAGAAATATTTGATTTCGTGGAAAAGGATTTTTCACAATGAACACTTGATTCGTGAACACAATGATTCGTGAAGACAAAAAACTAGTATTTGTGAAGACTTGAATCAGACAAAGAACCGATTGGATTACAATCAGAATTTACTTGAAACTAAACTGAATTACAATCCAGTTAAAAGTACCTGAATCAGAATTCACAATCAGAATTTACTTGAAACTAACTGTAATTTTTTGCTATCTAGACAGGTGTTGCACGAGCACCCTGCTTTCCGACTGGCGAGTGAGGGGTGTCTGCGTGCTCTGGCCATCGCCTTCCAGAGACAGCACAATGCCCCTGGAGACCTTCTGTTCCACACCGGCGAGAGCATAGAGGACTTGTGCTTCATTGCCAGTGGGTCCATGGAAGTGTTGCAGGACGACGAAATTGTCGCACTAGTCGGCAAAGGTAAAGGATCTTAATATCCCCCCTCTATTTTAAAAGGAGTACCACCGGTTACTAGTCCCCTCGCTGAATTAGTTCTTAATAGGGGTGGAGGTTTTTTTTTCAGAAATCATAGAGAGCAAAAAGGTAAATAAAGATAACTTAAAAAGCAAGTATCTAAAATACATTGAAAAAAAATTATTATAAAAACTTCAATGAAATAAGAAACGTGTCCAAATCAAAACAAAGATAGCCGGTTGCTGTGCAAGTAAGGCATAGTGATGTTCCGACCACAATAACTAAAACTTAAAAAAGACTTCTTTTTTTTTCTCAAATTGTGACGTTTTTTATTGTAGTATGATAAGAACATCTGAACAAAACCCTAGAACTTAGGCATAATAATACTAAACAAGGTATATTCGATATCAATTTTCCTCGAAAAAAAATGAAATTAAAAAAAATAAATTCAAAAATTATTCTAAAATTTATTCAAAAAAGTTTTAAAAATAACTTCTAAACTTATAAATTTCTCGAAAATAAAGCAGCCTGTTCTGTGATGCTAAAACAATCGGCACCTTAGAACGTGTTTGATTGTTCTAACTTTTCTGTTTGGCCATAATCTGGTTGCTTATTACTTCGTAAATCGATTTGTCGTTAGACTTTTTAAAGCTATCGAGTTGTCGACAATGAAACTTTAACTAAGGTTTTTTTCGATTTAGGTGACGTCATTGGAGATGAGTTTTGGGAGGAGGAGTGGATGGGTCAATCTTGTTGCACGGTGCGTGCACTCACTTACACAGATGTGCACATGATCTCACGCGATGCACTCCTGCAGATCCTCCAGTTCTACGACAGCTTTCGCACTTCGTTCACGCGCAACATGATACTTACTTACAACCTGCGCAAGTTAGTTTTATCAGGGACAGATCTAGGATTTTTGCAAAGGAAAGGGCAAAGTTTAACTAAAACTTCGACGTTACCTACGCTTTTTTGCATAAGATTAATTAAATTTACAATCTCGCTCTATAAGTAAGCTGTATAAATCATAATAAAATGTTTCCAAGCACCAGCAGATTTATGGAGGGGGGGGGGTTAAAAAAACAAAAAGGTCGAAAAAATTTTCGAAATGCTTTTGAAAGTCCGCCCCCCTCCCCCTCGAGAAAATTCTAGATCTGCCCCTGTTTCCAAGTAAAGTCATTAAATGAACACAAATACAAATGACGAATTCTTTTACAGAGCCTGCATTTTCCAAAAATGAGTTTTTTCTCTATAAAAGGTCGATCGATCAGTTTTTGAGAACTTTTTGGAAAGTGTTAAGTGTTGACCACAAATTCATTTTTTTTGTCCCAAAAATCTTAGCGGATCTCAAAAATTTAGCACACAGTGTTTGACATAAGCTTTTGACAGTTTTTGGAGTGATTTGACAAACGTTAATGTAAAACTCTACTAAAAACCAAAATAGCTAAGTCTGGATGGCAAAAAAAACTAATTTGGTTAGTCGACGAAATCCTGAGTGAATATTCGGGTTCTGACCACAAAACTGTTTCAATTAACTCAAAACTTGTGGTAAAATAGCGGTTCGCCATAAAGAACAGAACAACTCGCTTGTCGATAAAGCGTCTAAATTGGAGCCTTCTTTGAAACTTTTCTGTGTTTTTAGTTACTTCTCCTTTAAGAAGATTGAAGACATGCAATTAGAAAACAAAGTCTCCGATGCCAGAGAGCAGAAAGAGCGTTTGGAAGATATGAACAGCGATCACCCAGTTCGCAAGATCCTCAAAGGGCTCCGAGAACGAATCGCCCGAGAAGTTTACGACAAGTCTTCGCCTGACGATTTAGAAACTGAAGCGCCGAGATCAAGTTTGGCCGACATGGATACTATATCCCAACTAGCTGAAAGCCCGAGAAAATCAGAAGATTGCGAACTCGGCGGGAGATCTGCAAGACCGACAACAAGATTTGCCGACGATGCCGGATTGGCTTCAGTGCCAAGCATCTCGATAGGCAACACGTCTCCTAAGAAATCACTCTTGATCAAAACTCTAACCAGAAGTGTCTCGAATCTTTCGGCATCTTCGGTTTTGAGTCTATCCGATGGTTCGATTTGCTCGGATGCCGGAACGACTTCGGGAGGCGATACTGTCCGAAGTTCCAAACATATTTGGGAGAAATTGAAGTCGTCCAGTGCCCGAATGAAGGCGAACCCGGGTAGTGCCAGAAGCGAATCGAAGTTTCCAGGAGCTGCTAGCGGAGGAAATGGGACTATAAGTCGGAGGGGGTTGAATAAAGGAGCTTCAAAAATGGACTCGTTTAAAGTATTAAGTCCAAGTGTTTCGCGGGATTCAGAACTGGATAAGGAGATGATAGGAGATCAAAAGCTAAACACTTTTGGGAGGGAGCGAAAAGTAGCAAATGCCGCCCATCACAACAACTTGGTACGCTCACAGATGTCGAAGGCGTCTCAAACATTATACAACTTTTTTGCTATATTATGCTCAAGAGGGTAGCCAGGGGCTCGAATCTCTAAGGGGAGGAGCATCCGCACCCCCTACGCCGAAGTCCGCCGTGTTGACCCGGGTTGACGTTCATACAAGTAAAAAGCGTATCAAACAATTTCATATTTGGAATTTATGGAAAAAATTCTCCAAAATCATACAATTTTCTGCATATATAAAACGCAATAATTTTTGTAGCCATTACGTATAATTTGTTGAAGTTTTTGAGTTTTGGCTCTGCCATCAGTGTTCGGTTTAAGCCGTTAATGTTCAGTCGGTGGTGTGGTTGATAGTTATTTATATATTTAGAAGCTCCAAACGTTGGTTCCTAATTTTTCCCAATTTTTACCATCATATTAAACTACTGAAAATTATATTAAATGAGACATCACTCGATAAACTTGCATACTTTGATTGATTCAGGGATTTAGTGGGGATACTTACACCGTCCCCGAACACCTACGGGAGGCGGCCGAGATGGACCACCCGATTCTGAACGACATGTTGCGACTGAGGAAAGAATATGCGGGCGACATCAAACAGATGGAACAGAGGATTGAAACCGTCAACAGGTGCTGAGAACTTTTACCCTGTTCAACCTCGGCAGTTCGAATCCCGACCCGATCAATAAAATTTTAACATGATGCGACGCTTGGCCGTCTGTGAACTTTTCTTGAGAAACTTAATAACTGACGGAAAAATCATTAGCTAATCCAATATTGGATTTAGGGGGCGGGCGGACGCCTCCCCCCTTAGGGATTCGACCTTCTGTCGACCCAAAGGGTCCCTCCTGTGTACCATTTTGAGATACCCAGTTTTGGCTGACTGACCTCAAAACTTTTCTAAAGGCGTCTTTGGCGCCAATTTATACTACTTTTGAGGGGGGAGCGCGCGCCGAAAAAAACGCAATTTTTTGGTCGAAATTTTCCAAAAAGTGCCTAAAAACGCTAAGCGGCGCAGAAAATTTGGTCAAATTAAGGTCTTTATAGTGGTTTGGAAGAGCTCAGAAAATCAGTTTGGTTGACCTAAAAAAAATGTCAATAAAATGTCAATAAAAAAATGTCAATAGATCCGCGCCTGAGCTAATCCATAGTGTCTTCCCTTCATGACGCGAATCGGTCGGAGCAATAAAAATGTTACGCACAGCTTCCGCATATATAATTGTTTCCTGGCAACTAATTACTTTTCCGACCATTTGAAAATGCGGAGCAACTTTGTGGGTCGAGTGACATATCGTATTGAAGCCCTTTCAGTTGTGATTCGTACGACCGTAAAAAAATGAAAAAAAATTCAATGTTGAGAAAATTGATTTGTGGTCTAATTTCGATCTAATAAGGTGAGCGTGCAGGCTTACAATAGCTTATTTATGCTTAATTTAACCCATAAAAACGTTGTTTCACATGAAAAAAGTTAGTTTTTGGAGTTTTTTAAAGCAATTTTGGGAATCAAAAACATCTGCAAAAACTTTTGTAACAAATTTTTTAAATCTTTGAAAAATTTAATGTAAATTTTTTTTTTTACAATTTTTTTCTCGTTTTTTAGTCAATTTACTACAAAAATTGTTTTCCAATTGGTCTATTTTACTATGACAGTAGAATATGTTTAAGCAATTCAGATATTTTTATCACAGTACGCAGAAAAAAAAACGACACTAAATGGAAACACTTTTTGTATTTATTGAATACTATGTCGTTAAAAATATGATGCACGCTTGACTGACTATCCTTGCAATAGCTAACTATCCTTTTAAGATACTTATCTGTTTCGACATTATTTTAAATTACAGATTAAACTGATAACAGATTAAACTGATAATCTATAGCTCTCTTTGCTCTGAAATTTTAGAACTGGGTTGTCATTTAGATGTCTGTGGGAGGCTCTGATCACGGCTGAGAACAGACAGAGACAGATGCGGGAGCCAACGAAAACCATCAACCGCCAGTCTCAATTTCAGTCTCAATCGGCCAATAATTCACCTAACAACGAGCATTGAATAGTCATTCAAACCAAAACACAAAACTGCACAATATTTTTGCAAAAAAAATTGCACAAACATTTTTGCACAAATATTTTGCAAATATTGCACAAATATTTATGCAAAAAAAAACAAGTGAAAAGCAAGAAGTTTTAGAATGCTTAAATTTTCCTGAATCAAAGCATAATTCGGAACAACATATTTGTTTTTTTTTGGAAATCCGACTGTTTTGTAAAAGTTATTAATTTGAATATCACAAGGCTCAGATATAATTATCAAATGCAAGATATTAAAAGAAGAATTTTGGTTCTAAGCCAGAGCGCCTACGGCAGTATGTGAGGTCACAATTAGTCCCAAGCAACAATACGAAACAATTCTTAAAGACAACAGATAGCATCAAGTATCAACTCGTACCAAGCTACAAATAGCATCACGACCAATTAAAAGAGGGGCGTATATGAAACGTTCAGAAAAAGACTAATGTTTGGCGATGATTTTAGAAAGACTAAAATCAAATATGCACGCAAAAGCTAGCGCCACTTTTGAATTGAACACAAAGATATTTTGATTTAAAATTAACAATTAGTTTAATTGAAAATTTTTATGTTCTACAACAGTTCGTTTTTATCTCATTCGTTTAATGGGTTGCATTTGCACTATCTTTATGGGCATTGTGTATTTTCAGTGACATCGTTTGAATCACAGAGCATTAATGCTTTGAGGGTCGCCCTCTAAGGCAAATTCAAAGAAACCCATTCTTTTTGGGCTTTCAACAATCAGATTTTTAAACAATCAAACTGACTGAAGTAGATTAAGACAAACAGACCAGTCTAGTTTTTCAAACCAGTGATATGAATACTCAGTGGCTTCCAACACCAAGCTAGCAGCTGGTCAACTCCCGTTGACAGTGCAGCGTCATGCAAAATTTTCGACAAAAAAGAAAAAAAATTCCTGTCCGAAAAAAACCCTAAAACTTGATCGCGATTGCAATTGACTTTTGGTGTGGTGATTTGATTTTTGGTTTCTTTCTAATTTCAATTCAAAATCAGTTGCTTGAATGAATTTTAATAAAAATATCAACTTAGCGGAAACTGCGCATTAAAACTTGATGAATTTTAGGTGGAAAAATGGTTTCTACTTTTCCAGATGTCGAGATTTTCCGGCGGATTATGAAAACGTCAGATGACCCAATTTTCTCTTTTTGTGCTAGTTTTATGAAAAAAATGTGTATCACAAACTGTTCATGAACGTTTGGGAAACTCAACAATGATGTTTTCTTTGCATTTTAAAAGTTTAAAAATAGTATAAACCCATGTTCGACTTTTTTTGAGTTCAGTGACGCTTTTCCGACTGTTTGTTGACTACATTTCTAGACATTAAACCTTTATTCTCAATTTTTGATGTCGGTAAAATCAGAAGTGAATTGGCAAAGCTTCAGCTCGAAAAACGTATACAAACAATTTTTGATACTGGTGCTGAAAATGATTAGGTGATATCTTACAATAGTTGGTAAATTTGAGTATAGTACATGCTATAATTTTGAAAACTACAATGCTTTGTATAGTCATTTCATTTTCACTTAATTGTACATGCTACTAAGATAGTTTTTGTAAATACATTACTCTGCCAGATGAAATTTAATTCAAGAATTCGAGTTTTACACTTCTTTCGCCAAAAATTAGGCTTTTGAAATAAAATATAAATTCTGTTTAAAGCACAACAAGTAGCGATCCAGCTATTCAACTTGAACATACCACCTATTGTAATATACACCAACGATTTATTGCTAACTTTGAAAGTAACTGGCTGGTTATTGTTTACACCATTTGTTCACCGGGAGGGACAATCATGGACAATACAACTCCCACTTTTCGATTGACAGTCGGAAACTTGGCCATCTCACCGGTGCTCTTAGTCGTTCGTCGTGACTTTGCTCTCGTTTTTTTTTCAAATTACTATAACTTCTCTACTATTACCAAACAAGTACTATTCTTTTATTCACTAGCCGATCTGGATTAAAAAAACTTCAGGAACTTTTTCACTTCACCGCCAAAGTTTTACCCTGGAAACTCCACAGGAGAAATACAAAAACCGAAAAGTTGGAAAAAATGTATCTTGAATGAAAAATACATATAAGCAGTAAAAAAGAATCCCTGGTTAAAACGATTTATCAACGAGGGAAAGAACTGAAGCACGAGCTGTTGAGCTCAGAACGGAGAACTGTTGTTTTGTCCTGATTAAAACTGACATGTACTGTTTTGAGTCTTTTTGGGCTGGTCAGTATTGCCTCACATTCAGGCTACGAGCCATTTTTTGCCACTTACCCAGAATAGTTTTTTTTTCAAATCACCTTAACTTCTGTACGACTCTCAAAACAACCGCAACATCCCTGGAATCTACATCATTAAAAAACCAACAGGAGATTTAGAGAAACTCCTTTAAGGAGCTCTGCCCTTTCACCCCCACTTCGTCGCTCGAATATCCCCCCTCCCCCCACAATTTCTCTTCGCTGGACTCGATTACAAGCACTCGTTTCAAATCATACCTGACATTTGCAATCAAAAGTTTTGGGCTAAGTTCATGCTTTTTATCATCTATCCTATATTTACAAATAAAAAGAAAAATATCAGAAAAAAATGACACTGCTTTAAAAAACGTATTCAGTTTTGAAATTGTACAGTAGCTTTTTATGGTGTAAATTGCACTATGCGTGATGCTAGGCATAAAAATTTTGGCAAAGGAAACATCGACAAATAACTTGCAAGGTAAGCTATAGAATATGAAGTCTAGAAAAATCAATTTCCGACTCCGAGTAAAAGAATGAAATTGATACCAACTCTAGCAGTCAGTAGTCTAAAGGCAAAGCTGAAAACTGAATCCTTTAATTGCGAAAAAGTGTGAAATTGTACAAAGAAAAAAGATGCAGTCCAATTCAAAATCAGAATTCACTCCCCTCAAAGAACAAGACCTCTTTTCAAATAATTGAAGTCACTTTCAGTAGCGGATTTAGAGAGGAGGCGGCCGGCGGACGCCTCTTCCTCTCCCTCAGGGGTTCGAACCCCTGCCGACCCAAAGAGTCCCCCTTTTTTACTGTTTTAAGAAATCCATGTTTGGCCGACCGGCCCTAAACTTTTCTAAAGGCGCTTTTGGCGCCAATATATATATACCAACTTTGAGGAGTGTGAGCGCACTCCAAAAAAACGCGATCTTTTGATCAACATAATGCATAAAACGCCTTTTTTGGCCTCTTTTTTTATTTGTCTGTGGGGCAAAGAAATGGACCAAAACAAGGCATTTTTACTGATTTGAGAAAACTCTGAAAATCAATTTGATCGAATTAGAACAATTTTGACAAAACATCCGAAAAAAGCTTTAAAAATCAACAAACTATCGATGTGTCTAATTGGTTGATTCCAATTATACAAGTGTACTGGTTTGTGTTTGTATTGCTTTTTTATTCTTCAATTTCCTCTTTTTGATGAATTTGAAGTTGTTTCCGAATCGGAAAAATATATTTGATCGTGAATGGGACAATTTTTATGAATTGATTCTTCTAATTTGTAGAGTTCATCTAAATTGCTGGCTTCTGATTCTTAAAATGCGTTTCTTTTTTTTGAAAATTTTTTTCTTGTGATTTGTCTTTGTTTGTTTATGATTTTTCTTTTTATTGTTAGTCGTTTTGTTCTAATTTATCCAACTGTTTGTGTATGAGGTGTGATGACAAGATCGTATTTTTAGTTATCTATCTCACAGTAAAACGATTGTTTGTTTATTTCCTAGATTTTTGAATGACAAAAGGTTTAGGATGATGGAAGTAAAAAGTTGTTAGGTGATTTCTATTTTCTTAGACTGTTAGTCCTTACGATTTTTTGGTTAGCTTAACCTGGGTCTTTTTGTTCAGGGTTGGAGAGAAAAGTATATCGATTCCGAAGAATGATTTTTTACTTTCTCGTGGCTAGTCTAAGCTAAGGTGTTAACTTACTTAATATTACTTAGGGGTAGTGATTGTGTTCAAGGGTTGGAGAATAGTAAATCGATCCACAAGGTTCAGGTATAATTAGAACGCAAGTAGTTCGTTAGATACTATTTTAAACTTACTAAGTCTAAGATCTATCCTGGGTCTGGTAAGAGGAGGGTTCAAATGAAGGATGAATAACCGAAGTTCTTCACTGTTTATCCTAATTTGAATGGTTAGTTTTATTTAAAAATTTCTATTAGTCTTGAGTCTTTTGGAAGAGTTGGATAGTGAATCGACGTTTGAGGTCGTTAGACACTTGTTAAGTGGGTGGGGGAGAACAAAATTGTTCTTTTTGATCCAAGGATAGGCCTTGATGATCAAGTTTTAAATTTAATGAAATAGAAAATTTATTAAGATCCAAGGATAAGCCTTGATGATCTAATTTTAAAATTAAGTGAATATAATTTTATTTAAGAAAAAGATTTAGTTTTTTAATGATATTAGTGAGCTTATGATTGCTGTTATGTTTAGGTGATGAAGCTGGGACAAAAGATGATTTTATGATCACTAACAATTAATTGTCTTGCTACTAATTTTTATTTTGATTTTCAATAAATATTTTTCAAACATGTTTTATATAAGACTGCAGAATTTAACAAAACGATTTGAGATCTTTTTATCAATCGTTATTGTATATTAATAATTTTGTTTAGCGCCTGAAATGATCATGAAGATTGACTTCAAGATTTTATGTTTGCAAATGAAAATCTAAATTCATTGCTAGTAGTATTCTAAATACAAAAGTTTGTTCTGGCTTTTGCCGAACTATCATATAACTATATGGTAAGTTTCTGCTTTGTCGTATGTCGTCTCTGGTTCGAGGTCTTCTTCCAATTCCGGGTAGTTCTGTTATCGTTCGGAATATTGGCTCTGATCTATTGAGTCGTAGAGACATTTCGATTAAATTATTGTCGTATAACATTTTGTAAATGTTTTGTCTAAATTCTAATCTATTATTGGTTAATGCTAAGCTATTAAGGTCTTGTTCGAGACTTATGGTCGCACCAGATGAGTTATTTTCGATGGGTATAACTCATAGAGTAATTTCGGATAGGGCACACCGTCTGCTCGTCACGCTATCTTATTTTCGGCCGGATAGATTCGTGCAACTTCTTAGTCTAATACCGATCCTAATCTTACTCTTATACTATCTAGTCTCAGGTTGTTTAACTAGTCTCTGCTAGGCTCAATAGATCTAGGGTATACTGGTTTATTGCGGCTGCTGAAGTACTCGGGAGAGTTCAACTAATTTCTAAGTTAAATTCAAATCTCTCTGGTGCTGAAATTACAAGTAATTTCAGCACTTACAAATAAGGGGATTGTTAGTTAGATGGATCATGATTGGTTAATATTAAATACTTTACAGTGGTAAAATATCTAATTTATCCAATCATAGAATATAGTTTAGATCAGGTTCCATGTGAGCGCGCTCCAAAAAAACGCGATCTTTTGATCAACATAGTGCCTAAAACGCCTTTTTTGGCCTCTTTTTTTATTTGTCTGTGGGGCAAAAAAATGGACCAAAACAAGGCATTTTTACTGATTTGAGAAAACTCTGAAAATCAATTTGATCGAATTAGAACAATTTTAACAAAACATCCGAAAAAAATTTTAAAAATCAACAAACCCCCCCCCGCCCCTCGAAAAAGACCTGTATCTGCCCCTGGTCACATTCGATTTCGACAAAAAATTTTCGCAGACTTGTTCGGTATACTTTTTAGCCAGAATAAAGAATCCAGTAAAACTTGATTTAATCCTTCTGAAGCACTTTCAAAAAAAATAGTTTCTGTTTTTCTGTAATGTAAGATTTTGATTTTTTTAATAACTGAACCAATTATTAAACATAGCCACGGGCTTTTTTAGATTACAAAATTTTTAACATAAAAAGACGCAAGCACTTTTTTGATCAGCACTGTTCTGTTTCAGACTTTCAAAGAACGTGAAATAGAACGTCAATATTTGTGCTCGAGGTGGCTTTAATTCTCCCTTTTTTATGCTTCTAAAACATTTAAATGCGCAGAGCTAAAAACATATTTGACCTGTACTTTTTTTCGCAATTGCTCAAATAATACGACCCAGATTTAAATGCAACTTGAAAGAATGCAAAATAAATGGTTCAAATAACGGTTTTTAACAAATATCAGTTTAAGCATGAAAATGTCTGCGGGTGAAAAATTTGCTAATAATGAAACTCATAATGATATCAATTTTAAGCAAAAACTATATCAGATAGTAGGCTCGGATTGGTTTTCCAGTCAAAATCAGTACTGTTTCAGTAAAGCTACAGTAAAAAAAAAACAGTTAAATAGCAGTATTGGGTAAGTTCCACGATAGCATTGATCAATGATGAAATCAGGGCAAAAAATATAGCACCACTGTTCTAGTACTGTTTCAGTACTGAATCAGTACTGTTTTTGAAATTAATAAGGCTGGTCACTACTAAATCAGTGAACACTACAGGAATTTTACAATGTTGCATTACTGGAACAGTGCTGATTAGTACTAAGGGTTAACGGGTACGATAAGAATCACTACAAACAGTAGGTATCCGATTTCGTTCTTTTGGAAAAATTTTAAGACTATACTGTATCTGAGAACTCTCAAACTAGACATGTAAGGTCAAAAATTAATTGATTCTAAGCATTATAAAACTTGAAAATCAATTCAAAAATTTGAAAAAAAAGTCCAGTACTGTTCCAGGACAAAACTAGTGAAAGAAAAAGAACAAAAGTGTTCCAGTACTGCAACAGTACTGTTTTTTCTTGTTTAACTGTTTTTGTTCATAAACATATTACTGGATTTAATCTGAAACTACCGATTATTACTGGCAGATCAATCCAGAGGACTATCTTTACTTTTAGACTAAGTTTTATACAATTTTCCGACTAATTTTTATTTTCTCGGTCCCAATTTATTTTTTAATCAATTTTAACCACACTTCGTTCTTTTTATTGGTTGAAACTTCAATTTCAAGTCACTGCTAGTTCTGATGAACAAAGCAGAAAACTTTTTAAAATATATATATTCAACGTTTTGATTTTGAAAACGAACTTTTTTCACAACGTTTTGATTGTGGAAACGAACTTTTTTAAATTTTTTTAATTTCAAATATCATTTTCAGTTTATTCTATGCCGCATACTCTTGTCTGAATACAGCAGCAGTCTTTTTTGTATGAGTAGTTTTCTGTTTAATAAAAAAAATCTGTAATTCAAGGGGCATGCTCTAACAAAGTAGAAATTATATGTGTTCATAAGATGTGTGATTACTTATTCAATTTTTGAAACGTAAATGATATGATATGCTTTTAATAATTTACTCAGTTTTACTTTTAGTTTTCTTCTTATTGCTTAGAAAAGTTTTAGTACGAATGAAAGTCGTGAGTAAGTTTTCCACGAATCGAAGGCTCGATGGAAAAGTTGCAATTGTTACAGGTTTGTTAAATATTTAATATGATTACTTAGAAAATATAACATCATAATTATCATTTCTGATATTCAGAATAAAGAATTATGATAAATTGAAACAGTAAAAAGGTTGAAACATTTTTTGAAACAATAAAAACATGCAGAAAAAAGATCTTTGTAAAAAGATTGAAACAATAAAAAAAAAGAAAGAGAAATTTTTATCGAAACAGTATTTTTCAGATCTTTAAGAGACAAAGAAAACTGTTTTGATTCAACCAAAATTAAATTAACAAATGTTCGAGTTTTCCAAAACCCGTTTTCTTGGAGAATTTAATTATCCGAAAACTATTTTTTCCAGGTGGCAGTGATGGCTTAGGGTTCGCGATCTCGACAGAACTGGTTCAAAAGGGAGCAATAGTTTTCATTTTATCCCGAAACCAGTCAAAGCTATCCGCAGCAGCTTCAAAACTGAGAAAATACGCCGTTCCCAAAGAATTTTCTTCAAACGACGAACTTTCTTCTTCTTTGCAATATAAGAATGAAACAGTGATTACATGCCAAGTTGATTTGAGTGATTTGGAATCTGTTCGAGAGTTCATTGATTTCTACAAGCAGAAAAACAGAAAAGTCGACATTTTAATAAACAACGCAGGTTTAAGAATTCATTTGATAATACTTTTTAACACAAAAAATACATCCCAAAATTAGCATGGGCACTGTCAAAATAGACAAACTGTTCCTCATAGCTTATTAATAGACAATTTTGAGCGACTAAAAAGTGCAAACTCAGAAAAAAGGTAAAATTTTAAATCCAAAATTGGTTGAGATGAGGCTGAATAATAATCCCCCGATGCTGAGCCTCCTAAGAATCTAGGGGAGAACAAAATGAGAAATAAGAAAGGAAATTTTGAGTCTTAAGAACAAAAAAATATATATTTACAAAGGCGATAGAAAGAAAAAATATACAATAATTAAAATTCCCACAATTATTTGAAAGGTTATTTTAGGCCTGATAACAAACGAAGTGAAAGTTTCGCCTCAAGGTCATGATCTAGTCATGGCCACCAACTACTTGGGCCACTTTCTGCTAACTGAGAGTCTGCTAATTGATTCACAACCAACCACAATTATCAATATTACTTCAGATATGAGCTCGTTGTTCGGAAGAATCGATTCCGAACATCCAGGGCAAATCAGTTTGAATGCATTTCAGAAGTTATTGAACGTGAACAATTTGGTCTATATGAATTATTCATACGCAATGGCCAAGAAAGCGATGGAAATGTACAGTCAACATTTCATGACGTCACTCAACTTCAGCGGAAGTTCTAGAATGTTCTGTGCAAACCCAGGTGAGTTGATTTCATTCAAGCAGAACGCTCTGACTTCTGATAAAATAAGATGAGCAAAAAACAACATTTCTTTAAATATGAAAATAATGATCTAAAAAGGGGTAAATAGAAAAATATGGCTGTATCATGCTCAAGATCATATTATACTTCATCAAAGTAATCTAAATTTTAGCCCCAGTACTAATAATGTTTTCTCTAAAGAGAAACGAAGCAGAGTTTTGCACTTTTTGCGATACAGAACTGAATGATTATCACTACTTGCAAATAAAAAACTCTAAAAAAACGAAGTCTCGAAACTGAATGACTTTCAACCTGCGTACAATTTGCATTTCAGTACAAGCATACCATGGCATACCAGATCTTAATATACGGAAGAGAGTAAAAAGTCGCTGAAAAATCAACTTTTTTAAAGATCTACCTAACCATTTTCTATTTTGTCTTGATATTGTCTTGAATTCCTTTCAAAAAACATGACGAAAAACTAACCAATTAAATTTTCAGCAAGCATAGAAACAAAAAAAATCAAGCGGTTACAAAGCCGAAAATTCTTGTAGGCGCACGTGCGCCAAAAAAAGTTTCATGAAAAGACCTCAAAAATTAGGTCATCCCTCAAAACGTTGAGACAAAAAAATTTTTGCTCGTCAAACTTTTAAAAAACAGTCATATGAGCCGACACACTGTAAGTTAAAACCTTTCAAGGCGAAAATAGAGAAAAACCAAAAAAAAACACAAAAATCGGAGTCGGTAAATATAACACCAACATGAAAAAAAAACAATTTTTGAATAAAAGGGGCCTGTAACATGCAGGCATGCTCAAAAATTAACCGTTCAATGAGAAAAATAGGAATAGTCATTTGCAATTTTAGTGAAAAAAGTTGTTCACGGGAAAAAAGTCTAAAACCTGGTTGCAATACCCTTGCTTATCACAAGGGTATTGAACAAGGAATGAAAAGCGAACTGAAAAAAGATTAAGAGTAGAACAGAAAACGTTTCTAAAAGGAGAGAAAAAGTAAGTCGCAGATTAACCAAAAAAATATATCAGGAGCTTTATTTTAATGCTGCAATGGGAGTTAACTAGGGCTGACAACACTTGTTTTTTATCGACCAATCAGAATAGTTGCTTTTACAAGTTTTTGTAAATTCACATATTTAAATAACTAAGACAACTGATTAATGGGTATTTTTGGCAATCAATCATATTTTAGTCATTTTTTGTTTGTATGAACGATATCAAGACTGTTTTGTAAGACTGTTTTGTTGTCAAGACCGTTTTGTAATCCGTAAGTTTCTGACTGCCTCTCATCAATTACGAAGAAGATTTGCTTTGAAAATTGGATGAATTTTTCCAAAACGCTCGAGATGTTTGATTTTTCACATTTTATTAAATGACATTGAGCTCAATTAAATCAGATGGGTCTTCTATAGGTCGTCATATAAGTCACGTCAAATATGATAGATCGTCATAATTTTTCACGTCAAATTTGATTTTTTTTTGTAGTTTGGTTTTTGATTTCTTTCTATCCTCAACTCAAATATTCGCATCAAAAAATGTCAAACTTCAATATCAAAGACCAAATACATAAGCAAAATTTTGGTAAGAAAGCACTAATATTCTGAAATCCGATTGAATCAAAAAAAATATATTGATCCAATTTTCTAAAAGAAAAGGATAAGCTTGAGAAAAAAAAACAATAATAAGCAATTTGGATAATATGAAAAGCATCAACGTAATATATATTCTTTCTTCTACCTTAAAAATTCCAAACAAATCAATTGAAATACTTATTTCTTTTGTTTTAATTTTTTATAAGTTTTTCCCGCAATCAAATTCGAGGTGCAAAATGATATACTTTTCGCCCGAGGTTGCAATTTTGATTTTTTTCTCGTCCCTTTCACAAAAACCAAATTATTTTCATTCGTGACGAAAGTTTTTACAATTGTTTACTGAGTAGCCTAACTAGCTAGCATACTACTTCTTACAGCATTATGAACAATATGAAAAACAAAAAACCATACTTCGCAACTGGAGAGAGGAAAAATTGCAATTGCACACAGCAATAACCTCAAATTGGTTAAAATGGTTCTTCGTAACTTATAAAAAATGTGTCGCAAGTCAAATGACCGGTTATATGTGATGAGCTCAGATGGTATGAAAAGATGTTTTGAGTTTTGTTAACACAAAACCAAACCTTTATTTTTCAAACAAAAAACTAGAGAAACTCCGAAAACTTTATTGCTATATATTATGCAAAAAATCAAGCGTGCCGTGAAAAAAAGCACTTGCAGGACTCCGGCCTCTAAGTAGCTAGTCGCCTATGAAGCCGACCTCTGGAAAAAGGAATCAATTTCTTTCTTTCGCAATTTCTTTATATATCCTGCAATCAAATTTCCTCAACCAAATCTAAGGGTATATTACAACCAGTTACCAATCAATGCGCTCTACAATACCAGAAATAGCTCAATCTAATAATTTTAGAGCAATATGCATGACCACAAAAGAATAGACCTTAAAAAGGGAAGAAAAATTTTAATCGTTTTTCTAAGACCAGCGTTTTCTTGTGTCTTTAAAATGTTTTAAATTGTCTGAAAAATAACTAATCCAAACATGTATTTTCCGTTATTTCTTCAGAACAAAAATTCAAAACTGTATTTCTACATAAAACAGTTTCAAAATAAACCAAAACACGTGGTTTTAATCAAATTTGGGCGCTAAAAAAACGTAGAAACTTAGCTATAGAACAATTTAGCTAAGTGGCACTAAGCATAGATTTTAGTACTTATCAAAAGACACTTCTCACAGTGGTAAGGCGTTCACTTAGACACCGTCAGCCTGGTTCTCGATCTTATGCCATGGCCATGATTGTGTATACGGAAGAGCTCTCACGTGACCAATAGCTTCAAGTCTACCACAGTCTGGCTGATTTCGGCTGCAATAGAGGTACTAAGTGAAAGATCTAGACGCAAAAAAAACTACCTTGAGTCGCAAAAAAGAGCTTCGCTCATCAAAATAACACAGTCTGGAATGTGGGGAGAAGATACAAATGAAATTTTCTTCGACCGGTCTGTTAAGGCCTATGGATAGCTCCTCTGCTATTCAGAGGAGCCGCAAAAAAACTAGACCTCCTCTTCAGTGTACTCAACTTAGGCAGCGACCATCGCAAGACAAAAAACTGATTATTTTCTGCCTAGCTTTTCTAGAAAAGCGAAACCAATTTCAATGCCTGAATTCAAATCCAAGAATATAAATTCAAGGTAAAAAAAACAAAGTCTTACTAATATTTTGGGAGAGCTCGAAAAATCAATTTGGTCAGCCTAAAAAAAAAGATCGACATATTTATGATTTTTTCCCAAAATTTCGCACCCTTCACCCCCCCCCCCCCCCCCTCAAGAAAATTCTAGATCCGCCCCTGCTCCACTCTAAACAAGCCCAAAACGATATAATTTCCAACCGTTTTTTTCTTTTGCACTCAAATAAAATATTATGAACTGTTTCAGAGCAGCTTGAATCACGGCTTTAAATGGCTCAATATGATATGCAATAAATATAAATAGACTTATCGTACCAATATACTTTTGTGGTAACTGATTTTGCATCGAAAAACAACACCATAATTTGAAATTTTCGCCCGATACGACCTTGAAACGCAGCTATTGACTTTCGTTGGTTTCATACCCACTTAAGCCTATCTCAATAAAGCTATAAACCATTCTTAAAATTGAAGGGAATGTTTCAGGTCTTCTCAACACAAACTTCATGTCAAATTGGCCGAATTGGATGGAGAAATTATTGAAGCCAATCCTTCTGAGAACTGCCATGAAATCACCAGCAGATGGAGTTCATGTGGTTATGAAGTGTTTATTTCTACCTGAAGTTCATGAACAAAATGTGAACGAACAATTCGGTTTGGTCTTCAAGGGCGTGAAAAGTTACAAGTCGCTTAATTACTACCCGGATGTTGAGTGTGAACAACTATATCGCAATACGCGACTTTTACTGAGCCAATGGATCACCGATACCAGCTGATTGTCAATTTTGTGGTTTATTATACTCAAAACTCTTGATTTTTATCGTTTGTAGTTTCTAATTGATTTTTTACGATTAATTGACTGCCGCCGATTTCTAGGAAAGCTTAAGATCTCAATTGCTTCCTTTAAGCTTCCTATGTCATTTGTTTTTTTTTTGTTGACGATAGATCCCTCCTCAATGATTCGACCCCCTGCCGCCTAGCGACCCAAAGGAACCCCCTTCGTAATATTTGAGATATCTAAATGCAGCTGTTGGACCCTAAAATTTTTCTAAAGGCGCCTTTAGCGCAAAAAATACTAATTTTGAGAGGATAGCGCGCCGTTAATACCCGATATTTTGGTTACAATTTTCAAAAATTGCCTAAAAACGCCTTTTTTAGCCTGTTTAGTAAATCCCCCCATCGAGAAAATCCTAGATGCGCCCATAGTTGACGATAGGAAAAATTTCGCTGCGAGTTTTGCTGCTGCTTAAGAACCAAAATTTTCTATGCTTTTTCCGGTCTGGTTATTGTTGCCTTGTCGAGAGACTGACCGCGTCGCGTCTTGGGCCTCAAAACACAGAACGTTCAGCTGAGAAAAAAAAGCCTGACGCTTAATCATCGCGACGTTAAAGCAGAAATGATGCTCAATACTAAGAGTTTCTCAAATATAAGTCTTTAAAACTTCAGCAGGAAATACAGAAAAACAGAAAATCCATCTAACGGTTAATTACCATTTTAAACTTAAGCTCAATTAAAAATATTAGGCATCTAGAATTCCGCATGCAAAAAAAGTTGACATGTATCTTGGCACGTAAACTAATTTTAGCTAAATCAAAAATTTGGCAATTAATAGACAAAGCAGCTTAAATCATGTGCTTTTGGAGCATCACATTATTGGTTTTCAGCATCATCACATTGTTTATCATTTTTCATCGATTGTTGTTATCGATACGCTTCCTATATGGCCTCCACACTAACCCCCCCCCCCCCCCCCCCTCCTCCTCCTCTAGTGAGTGGCGATAGGGGGTATTTCGCAGTCGTAGCAGGAGGGACCACTGGGGGTTCCTTCAGGGTCACTCATGATCTTCAGCTCGTACATGTTTCGTCCACACTTGACACAATTGGAACAGTTGATGTGGTATCGGTACTGTTCCCCCTCATATTTCTGAACTTCCCATCGAGTGTCTGAAATGAAAACAGACAATTTATTCCTTTTTTTTTCAAAATTTTGTATTGTTTTTTTAAATTGTTTTTTTTTCGGGGTTTTCATTTCTAAATTTTCTACGAGAATCTGTTGTAAGAGGTGCGCAGACTTTTTCTGAAGTAATAGCAGTTTTTCAAAAAAATAATTGATTATTATCCGGGTGTATATAAATCGAAACTGCAGTATCTTCTAACATATTAATCATATTAATTGTTCCGGAGTAGTCTCTCGTCTATTGAACTGGTTGGCAAGAAAATGAGAAATCGAACAACTCATTAGCCTGCGGTTCTTTAATTTCTTCATCTGTCATAAAATGGGAAAAAACGGACAATAACTACTCGAAACTGCTCAAAAAGTCCAAACAAAACAAAAAGTTAGTTTTTTCTTCAGAAAATTTGGTCGACCTTTTTTTTAGGTCGATCGAATTGATTTTCGAGCTCTCCCTACGCACAGTTTAGTACCTGTTTTAGCCAATATTTCAGCGCCGCAGGCAAAATTTTGAAAAAACAGTCCAAAGGCGCCCTTAGAAAAATTTTAGGGTCGGTCGGCCAAAAATGGACTTCTTAAAAAGTACCAAAGGGGGGACCCTTTGGGTCGGCAAGGGGTCGAATGCCTGAGTGGAAGCATCAAAACCCGCCCACCCCCCCCCCCCCTAAATCCGCCCCTGACTTGAAGCAAAATATTTATGATTTTTTTTCTATACGTTTTTCAAAGAACATTTTTTGACAAATATGCCTAATTTATAATAAAACTATCCCTATTAGGTGTAAGCCTCAGTTATAGGTTTTTGTTCAGATTCTCTCATTGCACCACGAAAGGCAACGACACATTTTGAAAAAGAAAAAGAAAGTTTTCTGTTTGTGGTTGCAACTTTTTGTGCTTTTTCTGCACAGCAACCGAAAACTCTTGGTGTTCCGACTTTCGATATGAAAGTAAAGGAATATTTGTGCTCGGGGTGGTTTATGTTTTCTTCAGACAAATTTCGACTTCTTAACTAGCCATTTCTGACGGAATTTTTTTATATCGTTCAAAAGGCATTGTTGTCCTGAGCTTACATTTGAAAATATATTATACCTGTGATCATTTTTCTTAAAGTTATTAGGGCTTATAGATTATCATTTTGGCCAATTTTGGACAATTAACGCGCGATATATTTCGCGCTTTTAACGCGTAAGCGTAGATTTAATCCGTCGTAGAAATCGTTCCAAATTGGTTGAAGGAAGCTTATTTGCCATAATTGATTTGTTACTAGAAGCGAAATTTGTCACTTTGTACTTTATATGGCGTGTGCGGGGATGTTTTCACAAACAAATCTCAAATTTTTTCATTTTATTTTCTTTTTTTTTACATTAAATTTTTTCATGTTTTTACTGCTTCATAGACCTTAAAAGGCAGTCGGAACAATCAGGGCTTCGCCCTGATACGAGCAGTCTTGTTGAGCTTTAAATTTGGTTTTACGGGTTCAATTTACAGCAGAATTCAGCTCTGAATCAAGGTAAAACTCAAGATCTACATCGATGAATCACGCTATGATTAGTTCTTTTTTAACGCAGCTGATATTCTATTTGAAAAAAAGAATTACCACAAAAAAAGCTTGTTCGCTTCAATTGGATAATTTTATCAGCAAAGAACTTAAATCACAAATCATCAAAAAACTTGCAACAACTATACCTAAATCAGCAATGAAACGGCTATTTTTCAATCAACGATGAAACAACGCTGAAAACAGCTAACTCAGTGCTGACTTTGCGCTGTTAAACCACTAAAATAGCATCTCATCGGTGAATGACCAAAAAAACGTGGCTATTCTGTTGCTGCAAACATAATCCATGAAATAACCGCATCCAGTTTCAAGCGTTAATAATCGATTGTATTATGATTTCAGTATCAGTACTAAAACTGAGAAATTATCGATTTTACTGAATTAAAATTCGGTTATATTCAATTTTTTGAAATCAAATTAGTAATTATAATCAATAATAATCTATTTTATTCGATTTCAATCGATTATTAATCCATCTATTTTTTTTTAACAATTATAATCGATTAAATGGATTATAACCGAATATTTTTATCCCAATTTCTACATGATATGATTTGCACAAAAAATCCATTATATTCCACTTTGTTTGCACATTTTGTTTTCGAACTTGTCTCTGAATTGTTTGAATTTATTGCTTTTTGCAGACGTTGGTTTATCTGAACAAAGCAAAAATCGTTTTAGCAGTGTTCAAATCAATTCAAATTAATAACCTTTTTTAACATCTCTTCTCGATTAGAGTTATTTCATGATGCGCACTTGAAGTTTTTTTAACTACTAAAATCTCAGCTCATTGCCTAGTTTCACCAACCGCGGGAACCTTTCAAATAATATGAAAGGATCTCTCTGAAATGTTTGTTCCGTGATAAAATTTTGCGTTCAGATAAACCAAAATGTGACAAGATATCTCATCTTAGAGATTTTGTTTTTGACGGAATGGCTAAACTATAATCCCTTCCAATTATTTTTTTTTGCTTGAAAACATTTTGACAGGAAAGGGGCGATAATCTATCATACTAGATTATGATAGAAAAAAAAAACATTTTTGGAAAAACTATAATCAATTATAATTGATTATAATTTATTATAAGAATGTAATAAACACTTTATTATAATGTCACTAAAAAATTTATTATTATAATGGTTCATAAATTGTTTAAACCTCTAAATTTGGCGCTTGTAATTAAATATAGTTTTGAATAAAGTACAATTGTAAATGTAATAGTAGGTTATTTTTTTACTGAGTGTGGGCAATACTTGAGACAGCAATGAAGCTTGATGTAAGTTGAACCCTGTGTGAACACTCCGTAAAATACTTAGGGTACTACTATGATAAAGTGGTCTATCGGAAAAGCAAAGCTAGAAGAAAAAGCACTGTGATAGACAGGTTCCGCATGCATTTCGCATGTTACAGTTTTGAAAACTAACTTGTGTACAAATTGTTCATTCCAAAATTTTCAAATTGAAAATTGAAACTACTATATTGTATATATCAAGAAAAAAAAGGTCGCTTCAATTTATTTTACAATTTAGAAGCCATCAATTGGTAAACTTATATGACATTGAAACTCAATTTTGGCGGTTTGTGAATTTTCCACTTTAAAAAGGTGAGGATAGAGGTTTTACGAAGTAACAAAACAGTTTATTTACCTTTAATATAGGCGAAATTATAACTATAAACGACTTCAGAGCCCTTTACCTATAATAAAGGCGAAATTATAACTATAAACGACTTCAGAGCCCATTACTTATAATAAAGGCGAAATTATAACTATAAACGACTTCAGAGCCCATTACCTATAATAAAGGCGAAATTATAACTATAAACTACTTCAGAGCCCTTTACCTATAGTAAAGGCGAAATTATAACTATAAACGAATTCAGAGCCCTAGGTGTCTTATTCTCAAAAGACTATTTTTTTCATGGGACCGCTCTATCATACCAGTACCACACTTTGAAAGGGTTGAATTTAGCTGACCGTACAAATGAGTACAATTAGAATGGAAAAATTTGCAACTATTTATCTGGTCAATTACCAAGCCCCTTATATCAATCAGGAATGCCTCATATTGCCCAGCCACTTTTAAAATGGTTGTATCTTATCAACATTTGTCTGAAAACTCAAAAAAAAATTTCAATTAAAAAAACGGCTACCAAAAATATATAATTATCTACAAAAAATGTAGAGGATTATTTAATCACTAAATTTCGATGGGCTACATAAAAAATCTTTTTGACATAAATTGCTTCGCAATTGATCCAATAATTGCATCGTTAGTT